ATTTTAGAGACATAAGGCGAAAGTTTCTTGTATCTGAAACAGAGGTTTCATGGCTCAAAGAAGCGTTAAATATTGTTGATGAAGCCAAGAAAAAATCCGTTTGTACCAGTGTTATGGAAACTGCGAGTTAACTGTAACTGGTTCAAACGAACCTTGGCGATTTTGTTACCTAAGGGTTTGGATTTTCTCGTGGATTTTCTGCGCAGTAAAAAGTAAAAAAAACACATTGCTATACATCTTTGAAAAAGTATTTTTAACAACTGGTATTCAAAATATCCTTAATTCGCGACTCTCTTTCATTATTAATGTGAATATAAACTAAAATCGAATTTGCAGAATTCTCATATTTTTTGTGTACAAATGAACGGGTAGAAGTGTTTCAACTTGTTGTATTGAAGTCTGTTTATTTCAAATAATAAAGATCTAATGTGTGAGCCTTTTTTTTAACTTTCGTGCTTAATTTTTATGCCTATGGTTTAGATAACTAAAACGGCTTCCTACAAGAGTTAAAAAGCCCCTGAATTGTTTACTTATTCATGTTAGCGTGGGTTGTAATATCTAGGCTGTAATAACCAATGCCAAAAGCGCCGAGCTTTTCGTTTAGATGTCACGCTAGCTACGTCACGCTGTTGAAAAGTATCGTGTGGGATAAAGCAATCGTGGGAGGACATTGTTCTCTAAAGTAAACTATCTCTAACTCATGACATGTCACGCTATCTACGTAATGAATCAGACATAAAATCTTTCCATTTCCTAGCGCAGAATTACGTTGAATTGAAAATTTTCAGGTTACTCTTAAATTTTCGCAATCAGACTATGTAGAATCGCCAGAAAAGAATTATCTTTTCCTTTCAAGTCCGTTTCTTCATTGTAAGTTTGTTATACAAGGAATTGAGAGAATTCGAACGTTGAATGTTCCATTGAAAGACAGAATATGTACAAGTGAATATAGCATTCACTAAAGATACCTTTTCAGCTCCTTTACAGCAAAATTGGAAAGCAAAAATTGCATGCGAAGAAAAAAGCTAGTTAATGCCGGGGATACACTTAAAAGGTTACAGCGTACATTATGTCTCGATGGTTTCTGTTTGTTTTCACTTACTCCTTTATTTATGTTACTAAACGTCGTGTATTTTGCATTTTCTAATGTTCAATCTTTTGTATCGCCCCGTCCAAATTTGTTCCCATAGCAATTCACTCATGCCACGTGACTATATTTAGGCAAGGTACGTGAACTCTGCGTTGACTTCAGAAGACAGCGGATCAATTCTTTTTATATATGTTGTGCTGCATGCGCAACAGCTCGCCCATATTTAAAACGTGGCTTTCATTTGAGTGAAAAAGAAAAGAACGTTTTTTCATTTCTATTTGTCTGGAAAGTAGCCGAGATGGTAAAAGAGCACTCAACGTTATTGATCGCGATGGGAATTCACCGCCTCCAGACAATTCAGGTAAATCTTAAAACCGTGGTTTACATATTTTCCGCTCTACTAGCCTCCGTTTTGGGGGAGAAAATATCCAATTTTCGCTGCAATATATAATATATACATGTTATTCTATGCATATCGTGTGAGGTAAACGGGACCATGTTGTTTAAAATATCATGTTCGCGTGTTCAAATTATTTTAATATTCTATGAAAATTCATATTTTGTTCCTTAATTGGAAATTCACTCTGATCAGTATTTTTCGTCCTTATTTGCAACTTAAGATTGTTCTACTTCACATAAATTCGCATACGAAATTAATGGCAGTCATTTCTTCTTATTTGGCTTAACACATTTATTTTTTAAGCCAATGGCTTGCGACCTACTCACAGGCATTACAGCCAATATTTGCTAAAACTGACACTCATAATTTAGTTTTCAGCTGCCTTAGTAGAATTGATCGCGAAAAATATATGTGGTATGTTCGCAAATGAGGACTCCCGATACAGATTCCGTCAGAAGTATATCTGATTCGGTTTTAGCAACAACTAGACTGTAGATTTCCCTTTTTATAGTTTGCGTGCTATTAACAGGATTAGTTAACAAAGACTTTTTTTTTCTTCTCAAAACACCCAAGATTTTCCCTGCTGGCAGAATTTCCTTTCTTCGATTGTGTTACAACAACAACAGTTTTATTGAAATATCGAAAAAGGTGTACAGACAATAGTTTAAATCCCACAGATAGCAATCAAACTATTCGAGGCGGGATCAAGGAGAAAGAAAACAAATAAATACAAAAGCAATTAATCTATAACTCTTTGAAGGTGAATTAAGATAAAGTGGAAAAGGGAACTAACCGAGATTTTTCACCGTATGCGCCACTATATAGTTACGTTGAAAGTGGCGAAACTTGCGTCACGACAAATCACAGATATTCAAAGGTGGATTGGGCAAATCTTGTTTCCTTTTAATACTAGTAATATCGAAGGTCAAAACGCTTTTGCACCAACGCTGTGCTTTGCGTAGGTTACCCGTGGCAGATAATCAAAACAAGCGTGATAAGTTTACGAGTGATAGAAAGTCCAAACGCGCGGGATCAAATTGCGTTCTATGCATCCATTCATTCTTAGTGGAAGTCCAAACGAATGCTGGGTACATACATGCGACGCACGCGTAAGAAAAACTGGTAGATTAGGATTGCGGGTTCCTCTTGTCGCGTGCAATTATTATTATTATTATCATCATCGTCATCATTATTGTATTCACCATCATTATAATTACTAATTGATATTTAGTCAGGGACATTGTAAACGATAATAGCGAAACTGGTTTGAAAGGCCGGGATTCTGAGTCTAACACGACAACAAGACGAAGGGGAAGACGGAAGAGCCATGAGCGGAGAGAAAGATGTGATATCTCCTTTCGTTGTTTGTTAACACACAGTTGAAATAAACGAGGCGACCTGGGCACTAGACAGCAGCTGCACGTGAATTTCTCTCCTGCAACGGGTGGATGGACGAAAGAAATCATATTTTTTCCTGTCCTTGCCGGTGGAAATTTTCACGGGCGTTCGCAGTGTTTCGCTCGCTGTATTATTCACGAGGAAAATTGGGGAAGACACCTCGTCTCCTTAGAATTAGGGATGAACTCCAAACGAAAATTTAAAAATCAAAATATCCGTGGCTGGTGTTTAGCCAATTATGCAGGTGTAGGATAAGAAGGATACTGTCGTATTCTTTTCCTCCCTTTAAATAGAACTGTTTACAAATATGGCGGGAAAATAGTGTTTACTAATTGGCTAATTACAGTATTAGGAAAGCCACAAAAAGGGACACGATTCGGTAAAACGCACGGTGCTGGTTTTATTTACCTTGCGGTTGATACGACCTGGAATAAATGGAAATATCAAGTTTATTCCATTAAGCGGTAGATAAGAAGTGTGGTTCAGTTTCTGTTCCAAGAAAAGTTGGCGAGTTTTGCACCGTTTAGGTGCTTTGAGGTTAATGTCACCATGTGATAGATTGGAAGAGGTTTCTTAAGGAATCTAATAGGTATGTAGGTTTTTGTTGGCATTTTTTGATGAGCAGGATTTCTATTGTCATATAATTTGTATAAATCGAACTGGGTCCTCAGTAAGAAAATCAATCATTCGGAGAAAAGACAAGTTTTGGATTCTTTTCTTTTTAATCCTTCGAGAGAAATTTCGCTCAACGCAAGTTATGTAAACTAAAAGATCTTAAGCTATTCGGGTTTAATTTAAATATTGTTCTAAATAAATTCAAACCCAAAGTGTAATTAAATTAAGAATAAATTTCAGGTGAATTTTAAGCACGCCAAGAAAGTTGATAACATAGCATTTGTGTATTTTTCTTAACGAGCACTTCAAAAATAAGATAATGTTTAGTAATATAACCAGAGTGTTGGCTTTTATTTTACAGAGAAGATTTGCATGGAAGATAATTGGAAACATTCAAGTAGAAATGTTTTCCTTGTAATAAATCGCATTTAGTAGTTTCGCAAGAAAAATTTCGATATTCGTTCTTTGTTGCAAAACCAGCTAAGGAACCTTTTTAAAAACATTTAAAACTATTAAATATCGTGTAGTTTGATGCTGCATAGATAGCGCCAAGGAATACGTTCGAATATAACCGCGGGGAGTTAAACAAGACTTTCGTTCCTATTTACTAATATTTACTGTGTGAAGCAATCGTTTTTTGTAATTTAAGCACACGTTGGACAATTTTACGTTTCATTCGCTAACATTGTTCAAGAAACTTAGACCAGTACTGATAAAAAAATTTCTTATTCGCAATTTGTTACATTTATTGTCCATTTACAGAGAAACTGAACTCTAAAACAATTTCAATTTTACCAAATTGCTCAATTCATTATACAAATAGGATACCTTTACTTAAGAATTAGTACTGAGGAAACATACTACAGGTCATTTAATTAAATTAAACCTCTCCACCTAACAATTCACTTAAGTCTTTCCTCTTTTGATTTTCACGTAAATATCGGCTTGGGCAAATGAGGTGAGACTGTTTCTTGCTTCGGTTTATTTTGAGTGAATTTAAGAAAAACCGTAAAGCAAAAAATAACATTGTGTAGCGTTCATATTGTCATGGCCTATCGAGGTTTTCTACTCCACGCACCAGTTAATAAGTATTACATTTAAGTGCAGGCATGTTGGCTTCAATATAAGGAATATAATTAGAATCATTTTGATATTCCGGCATATTACAAAGGCTCCGCTTTGTACACAGAATTTACGGCTTGTAAACAATACCCCCGAGGCCTAGTAAAATCCCAGACGCTCTTGGTTTCTATGAAAACATAAAACTTGCGGCTTCATTCAGAAAGGACACTGGCGTTTTTCTCAATCGCTTAACCGCAAACTAAAACAAATCATAAACAAATATTTTGTCGCCTTTGAAGTTTTCAATTAATTTTTCTTTCTTGGCAAACGGTTTAGATTTTTATATTCTACACTTGTGAATTTCCAAATTAAATATATTCTCTATTATTTTTTAGGTTCGGTGTTATCTCGAGCAAATTAAAATCTTGGTTTATTATGGACGAAAACAGACGTAAAGAGAAAGTAAACAACTTAAGACTTGAGGTAGAAAACCTAGAATTAAAGGCTGCGGTTGAGGGGAAAGATAAAATAATTCAACTTCTTCGCGAAGAAATAAAGACGATCCGTGAATCAAAAGACTCTAGACATGCTTCAACTGAGCGGTTTTATCGCCAACACGAAGTAAAAGAACTTCACAGCGCGCTGCTAAGTAAAGAAATTGCTGTTAAACAACTAAAGGAGGAACTAACCCAGGCTTATCAAAACACCGAGCAGGTGCACCAGCAGTACGCATGCGCAAGAGGCTCGATTGAAGCGAAGGACGCCACTATCAGCAGGTTGCATAAAGAAAATGACAGACTACAAGAAGTTCTGGAGATAGCCCAAAATGACCGACTGCAAACGCTGGATAAGTTAAGCGCTGTACAAGCTGAGCTCTCCGCGGTTCGCGTCGATAAGAGCTGGTTAGAAAGTCAACTAAAGCTACAACAAGAAAGTTTTGTAATCACACGCACGATAAGCGACAGCCGAGAAACTGCGGAGGGTGGACACGGGATAGTGTTTACCATGGAAAGTGTTGCGAAAGACAAGCAAACATTACAGGAACTCATAAACACTGCGTCGCATTATGAGGAAATTATACGTTCTCTGGAAAGTGGGAAACGTAGCGATGTGCTCAGCACGCAAGAATCGTATCGGTTCACATCGGTTTCGAGCCCAAGGCAGGGTGAATCGTCGCCACGGGTTGACGAGAATTACGTGATTGAACTCGGAAATAAGATGACGGAGGTTGAAGAGCGCTTGAAGAAAGCTGTTGTGTCACAGAAGTACCAGCTGCAGACAGAACGAGAGCAGTTAATTCAGGAGTTTAGAAACATGCAAATGCAACTTTTACAGCATCAGAGACATCATGAAGTACAGAAGAATGAAATATCGTCAAAGGAGACTCTCATTCAGAGACTTAAAGCCGCGAAGGCAACATTGGAAACAGAAGTTGAAACTCTTAAAAGCGACCTGGCAGCCAGCCGAGCTGAGAGTGATAAGTATTTGCAGGAACAGAGAAAATCCCAACACGAATTGATTTCGTCCAAGGGCAAAATTTCCAAGCTCGAAGCTGAGCTGGAAAATGAGAGGCGACAGAGAGAATTAGAAAAGAAAAGGATTGAAGAAATTGGCTCCCATTCTTACTCCGATAGAGATGAACTGTCGAAAGTAAAAATCCAGCTTCGTGAGCAGTGCCTGATAAATGAAAATCACTCGAGAGAACTTGTTGCCAAAGACAACTTGATCAAGCAGATCCGGGGGAGACTGGAGAATAGCGAATATGAACTCGATAAATTCAAATCTATGCGCACTGCTGTGCAAGTATCCCAGGCAGAGGTAGGTCGGGAAAGAGAAAATCTACAAGAAAAACTGCTAGCGTCCGAACGAAGATTCACCGAACTACAAGCGAGGTACGACGAGTATCGTCTTAAAAACGAAAAACTACAGCGTGAATTGCAGGAATACAGACACAAGCATACTAGAGTGGACATTGTTGAACAGTCTCTTGAGCAGAAAAGAGTCGACCTTGAAAATGATTTGGTGGTTGCGCAAAAGAAGTTGTCAAAGCTTGAGAACGCGTACGAAACTTGCCAAAAAGAGAAGCTACAGTTACAACAAGAGTTAATTCCAGCAAATACTAAAATAAGTCAGTTGAGAAATGCGTACGAAAGCTGTCAGCAGCAGAAGTCGCAGTTACAACAAGAGGTGTTGTCGTCGCATAAAAAGCTTGGAGAATTTGAAGCGAAGGTGGAGAGGCAACGACAAGAGAAAGCTGACGTACAGCGAGATATGAAGGTTCTAGAGAACAAGTACAATAAGGTGGAACAGCAGCTGCAACGAGCGTTAAGCGAAAAGCAAAGTCTGTTGAGCAAACTAGAGGAAGCAAACCGAAGAGTATTAAATGTGACAGACGACGGCCAGATACGAGACAATCAGTGGTACGTCCACCAGAAAAAATACGAAGAATTGAGCTCGGAAATCCACAAAAGGGAACAGACTATGCGTCAGTTGCAAGAAGAAAAAGAACTTTTAGAAGCAGAGATCCAACGTTTTAAACGCGACTTTGAAACTCTGAATAGAGAACTTGCCGCTTGTCAGCGAGAGAAAGCGAGTCTTCAAAGTGAGCTAACAAGTGAACGACAGAAAAATTCCGATTTTGACAAAGACTGTGGACGCCTGCGTCAAGAGAGAGAAAAACTCCAACATGAATTGAATTCTATGAAAGACAATAATGCTCAGTGGAAAGATATGTGTGATAAGATTCAAGAAGACAAGGAACGTTTGCAGGGAGAGCTTCTGGCAGCACAAAGAAACATTTCACGGTACGAGGCGAGCCATGATAACGAGAAACGCTCCTCTCAACAGGACACCATGATATTAAGGACCAGAATAAGTGGCCTTGAAAGTGAACTTCAAGAGTTGCGAAAGCATGATGAAGAATTGAAAATTAAGACCATGGAACTTCAGAGATGCAAAGCCGATTTTGGTAAAGTGGAAAGAGATCTGGAAGAGAAATCCAGAAAGCTTGAAAGGCTAATGAAAGACACTGACATTAAAGAGAACCTCCACCAGCAATTGAAAAAAGAAAATGTAGCACTTAAAAGAGACCTCGAATCGGCGATGAAAGAATCTGGAGAGTTTTTATCCAGTTACGTTCCTGACAAAACGACAATGGAAGTTGAGTTTGAATTAGTTCAGAATCAACTGTCAGACATGAGTACCCACATGAAAGAACTTGAAGATGACCGTGACTCTTGGCGAGAGAAGAACCTGCATCTTCAAAAGCAAATGATCTTACTCGAGGCCAAAAACGGTGAGATGGAAAAGTCTTATATCAGAATACAAGAACATGACAGGAAACTACAAGGTGATTTAGAAACCTGTAAAAGCGCCGTCGAAAAACTTGAGAAAGAGTTATTCGAGTATCAGGAGAGTAAGAACAGAGTTGAGAGCGCATTTGAGAATTCTGAATTTAAGAAGGAGGAATTGTCCAAGGAAATATTGGACGCCAGGAAAAAGCTTTCGGATCTCAAGAAGTTATACAAGGCTGCGAAAACTGATGAATTGAAGCGCACAGAAGCGGATCGAGGCAAAATCACAAAGCTTGAAGGCCAGATCGAGAGCCTAACAAATCAGAAAAATCAAACGCAACAATTGTTGATGGAGACAAGGGATGCGGCGAGAAGATATCAGGAGGAGCTTCACAAGACACAATCACAGCTTCAAGAACTGCAGCGGTTCTCGGAAATTTATCATAAAGATATTCACTCTAAAGAGACGCAGAACAAAAGAATTCGTTTGGAAAAAGAAAGCATACAGAAGGAGCTGGAGAGTATGCAAGTGGAGTTGGTTAACACGGCTTCAAATGTGGAGTCTTTTGACGCAGAGCGTTATGAACTGATCCAGGAAATGCGAGTGGCAAAAGACAAGATGCAAGAGTGGGAGAGTGCGTACAAGATCCTGCAACAAGAGCATGAAGCAATGGAGAAGGAGCTAAGAAATGCTCAAAAGATGGTCAACGAGGTGGAAGATGAGTTTAATAAAAGTCATAAGGAACATCAGAATGAAGTACGCACCAGTCATCTGAAGATTAGTAAGTTTGAATCTCAGGTACAGGTTGTGATGAAACAGAGAGACTCGTTGAAAGACCAACTTGACGAAGTACGCCAAGAGTTGCGGAACACCAAAGATGAGTACACACATCTGCAGAAGGAGTTCATTCAACACCAGCAGAGATGTGATACTTACCGAAAAGAGCTCTTGGCCAAGAGCCATATGATAGAGAGGCTTGAAGAAGAAAAGAATTCCTTGCAGCGGAGGATGGAACAGATGAGAATAGAGCTCGGGCAAAACGAGATGACAGGTCAAGTTGTGAAGCAAAAGAGTGATATCTTGGAAGGTAATTTGTGATGTTCTAAATTTAGGCTTTCAACGCTACGGTTTAATTCCAGTTAGACTATTACATTAGGATTTATAATGACTATAGGCCTGATGTTCGCTCGTCGAATTCAGGGGCCTAGGGGGGAATTTGGTCTTTACCAACGAGTTAAATATGTCCTTTTATAAACAAAACTAAGATATTACGCGCGCTCTGATTGGCCGAGAGCCGTGTTTGCATGAGAGTGTGTAAACATGGTTGCGACGTCAAAGTGTTTGCTTTTCGCGCGCTAATCACGCTGGCACGAATTTCAAAAAGCCTAAATAGTTATGTTACAGTGAGACTTTGAGATTTTTATAAAACTGCTGTTCTTTATGTATTAATATCTGGTTTCAATGATAGGCAAAGGTAATGTCTGCAGTGACTGGGAATCCCCTCATCGTTGGTGCTTCTGGGTACGATTAGAGTGCACCGGCTATAGGATTGTAAAAGTGTAGACTTACATCCTCACTGCGTTGCGTCCATGTTGTTTGTTTAATTTGTTCTAGGTGATTTACATTCTGCTGGTGATAGGATAACAGACCTAGAACGTACGTTGGGAAGGTTGAGGTCAGAGAAAGATGAAATCCAACGAGAACTTCACCGCGTCACGAACAAGCTGGCTATTGTCGAAGAGTCATATGCGAGAGCCCAGGAAAAAGTCAAGGATCTAGAAATTCAGCTCAACGCTGCCCGAAAAGTCATCGGTGATCTGGAAGAAGAGCTATCCGTCGTCAAGACTAATGCGGCTCAGCTCGAAGCAGATTATGGATATAAAATCGGGCACACTGACGATCTCGAGGAAAAATTAGAGGCTACGTACAGAAGTTTGTCAGAGATTGAGTCATCGTACGAGTGCAGTGAACGAGAGAAAGAAGACCTTAAGCAGCAGCTGACTCATGCGGAAAGAAAGGTGTCAGAGTTGAGAGAGACCATCCAGAGAAACGAGGAAGAGAATGATGATTTGGAGCGACAACTGGATAACACTCGACATAGGACAACAAAGCTTGAAAGTCAACTAGGCAATACTCAAAGGCAAAAAGCACAATACAAGGAACAATTGGACGATGTGAGAGCCAAGCTACTAAAATGTAAAGATGAACTAGCAACCGTACAAAGTCAACTTTACGACTGCCAAAGGAGCTTGGACGTGCTAAGGAAGGATTCCAGTACCAAAGACAATACTATAACAGAACTCAGAGGAAACTGTTCCACGCTAGAGTCCACTTTGGAAAAAACAAGCGAAGAACTTGCAAGACATCAAATGGAAAACGATTCGCTCCAACAGGATAAACGCGATCTTCAAGAAGAGATCTTAGAACACCAAGAAAAAGTCCAAGAGCTGGAAGCCATGTACAAGCTATGTGAACACGAGAAACAGCGACTCGAAGAAGAGATACATTCGTTCTATAAAAGGCTTGCGGAACTTCAGGGATCTTATCAGACGTGTGAACACGACAAAATGGACGCACAACGCCAGGTCATGATGCTGGAACAAAAGGTGAGCAGGCTCGAGGTTGTCTTGGAGCAAACACAGCGAGAGAAAGCAACTTTAGAGTTTCATTCAGGAGACTTGAATGTTTCAAACAAGAAGGCGGTGGAAGAACTGCGTGTAATAAAAGGGCGCTTGGAGAAGAACGAGAGAGCATTTAATGACTTTTCAAATCAAATTTTGGAGAAAGAAAGAATCATCGACGAGTACAAGACCAAGATAACTACACTGACAACTGAAAACGATTATTTGAACTCTGAAGTGAGCAAAAGAAAAGAAAATCTCAGGCAACTGGAAAACGATCGACGCAAGTTGCAAGATAAGTGGAGAGAGACGAGCGATGAGGTCATTCGAATGAAACCAATATGGGAAGCCGCCCAGCGAAAGAAGGAGCAGATCGAAATAGAATTACAGGCGAACCGAAAGAAGGTGGTCACTTTGGAAACTCTTTTGAAGAAAAATGAAGAGAGAACAACGCTCGCAGACAAAGATCTCAATCTCTGCAAGAACAAAATCTCTGATCTTGAGAGTGAACTTAACACTTTGCGAAAGAAGGTCTCCGTTATGGAATCCCATTATGAAGAAGCAAGGAAAGAACTGGAAGAGGTCAGAGAGCAGCTAAGGGAGGCTCAAGAAAAGAATACGAGCTATTCCATTCAACTTGATACAGCTCAAAGTGAGCAGATGGATTTAAAACAGCAGATTACGATCCTAGAGAAGAGCTTGTCACAGCATGAGGAAGAAATATCAAGAATACGCGAGAAGAAGGAATCACTGGAGGAGGATCTCTTCGCAAGTCACAACAAAAGGGCAAAACTTGAATCAACAATTAGCGGGCTGGAGACGCAGAGAACAAACTTCAAAGAGCAACTTAATGAATCAAGGAATAAAACCATCGAACTTAAAGAGGAAAATATAAAGATTGCAAGCCAATTAAAGGAACAGCAAGGCTTGGCAGAATCTTTGAAGAAATCTCTGTCTAAGAAGGAGAAAACGATTGAAGAATTGCATGAAAGGATAACGGAATTGGTAACGGAGTTAGAAACTTTGCGGCAAGAAGGAATGACTATAAAAGTGTCCTGTGAAAGCCTTCAAGGAGCACAAGAAGACATGAGTTTGAAACTTATGGAATATGAAAGCAAAGACGAAAAAACAAAACGGGAATTAACAGATACATTGGACGCCAAAGATGAAATTGAGAAAGAGCTCAATATCGCCGTGCAACGAAATACAGAACAGGAACATCAGTTGAAGAGTTTGCAGCGAGAGAAAGATCGACTTAAGTTCAGTTTGAAGGAGAGCGTAAGAAAGCTCACTAAAGAAACCGAAGACGGATCCAGGGCTCAGAGAGAATTACAGGAATGCCACGTAATCATTGAACAACTGAAAAATGATAACAGAGCCTTGGATTCTCAAATTGAGGAATTGAGAGCCGTCAAAGCATCCATCGAAAGTGAACTGGAGAACATTCGGAGCGAATATGAAGTTTGTAACTCCAAAAACGACATCAATGAGAAAAACCTACAGGACTCTGACATTGAATTGAAAAAGTACAAAGATGATGTTTTACGTTTAGAAAATTTGACAGTTGATCTAGAGAAGGAGAAATCCGCCTTGGAAAAAGACGTTCAAGTTACTAAGGCAAAATGTCTTGAATATGAAAGTTTGGTTAGACGAATGGCTCAAACTGAAAGCGATCTTAAACATGAACTTCAGAGTTCAAACAGTAAGATTCTCGCATTAGAGTCGGAAAGCAAATTGTCCAAGAAACAAGGAAATGAGATTAAACGTGAAAGTGAAGTCTTGGGAAGAAAGGTTCGAGAACTTGATGAATTGTTTAAAAAGTGCGATCGAGAAAGGAAAGAGGCACGACAAGAATTAATTTTAACACAGAGCAAGTTAGCTGACATAGAATACAAATATGATTATGAATGCAGTGAGCGGAGATCTTTGAGCACGCATTTGGAAGATGCTAATGAGCAGGTATCCAAAGCGCTTGATAAAGCGCTGAATCTAGAACAGAAAGTGGTTGAACAAAAGCTTCTTCTTGACATGGCAAACAAGGAAGTAGAGGAGAGAGATGAGGTCATACGACAACTTAAAAAAAGCAAAGTTTTCGTAGAAGGGCAGCGGGAGAGTTTGAAGCAGAATGTCGCGTCTGGGAAGGATGAATGTGATCGCCTTCAACAGGAAATCGGTCGCCTCCAGCGTGAGATCTTCGACCAGCACAAGAAAACAACCGAGCTGGATTCAAAACTAAGAAAAGCAATAGCGGAGAAGGAAAAGATTCGGGACGAAGGTAATAAGTGTAACGATGATCTCTTGACACTGAAGACCCAACTGGATGAAGTGCAAGGTGTGAATGATAATCTTGAATACCAGCTTGAAGAGTATAAACAGAGTGCGTTGAAGTACAAGAACGATGCAATAACATTGCAAAGGCAAGTTACTGAGTTGACAGGGCAGTGCGAGGTGTATAAAGAAACTCTTGATGCAAGGGAGGGGTCGGTAGGCCAGTTACGAGAAGCCAAACGAACTTTGGAAGAGGAAATGGAACAGTTGCAGAAAAGTGTCAAGGAGAAGGAAGGGAAGAAGGACCTGTTGATAACCAAGAGAAAGGAACTAGAGACAAGCCTTAGGTCTGCGCTGCAACAGCTTTCTGAAGCAGAGGAAGCGTTAAAGGTATACAGCAACATAGAGTTACAGAACCATATCGATAATTGCCTGCGTGCAGACGTCTCCTATTTCCTTTGTTGCACGCGGAAAAGGGACGTCTGCGTAACGCCGTCGCTAATCGTGTTCCAGCGTCCCGCTGGCAGGGTATTCTATTTTGCATAAATTGTGAAATAATATCCGGTTAGAAATAAGAGTTGACAGGCCAAACAAAACATCATAAGCTCGTGAGACGGGCGAAACGTGACTTTGAGAGTCTGCTTGAACAGAGGTTTTTCTTCTTTTCTCTCTCGCGCGAAGATTACTAGCACTACACAGTGCATGTAGCATTCCAACCTTTGACTGAGTAAGTCTCATTTTTGCCGCGCTAAGTCTTCCATTTAGAGGTCATGAAGCAGGTTTGTTACATGCATACTGAGTAATCATTTCCTGTGGTTTATGCTTCTGTGGGTGTTCCCGATAGGATTTGATTTCAGATGCAGTTGTAACGTGTTTAAATTTTCTTGACCTCTGTTTGTTACGGCTAAGTAAAGGTTTTAGTTTCTTTGGCTGGCTTTCTCCGAAATGCCTGCCTGGTGCGAAGTCCACGCCGCTTTTGTTGTTTTCTCAGACACTGTTTACAAATATGATGTGATGTGTCATGCACAGTAAATTGTAAAGAAATAATTTCCTCGTATACGTTAAATTTTCCGCGTCCCCGCACAAGATTTCGATCGCTCTGCTTTTCGATCGACGAAAAACACAGCACACAATCGCACATGTTTTGATTTGTTTTGGTTAGAAAACCCCGCTTACATAAATCATTTGAATCACCGCATACATTATCAGACCACATTCGATAACAACCAATCAGCATTAAGTCAAACAATGCGCACTGTGTGTCAACCTATCACAGCGTGTTCCCAAGATCTTGGGAACCCAGCAGGACGCTGGAACACGATTAGCGACGGCGTTACGCAGACGTCCCTTTTCCGCGTGCAACAAAGGAAATAGGAGACGTCTGCACGCAGGCAATATCGATAATAGAGACACACTGCAAGTTGTTTACATAATGTTTTAACTATACAAAATGCGTGTTTATAGGTTCTGTTGCTTGAATGAAAACATAAGCAGCTTTGTTTTAACGAGTAAATTTTAACAGTATTGCAAAAAAAAAAACTAAGCGCTACAAAAAATAAGCCAGGACTTAACCGACAATTTCCAATACTGAGCGAAAGAGACAACACTCAGCTCTTGTCTTTGAAGAAAACAATATTTCCAGGGTCAAGGTTTCATTGAAATTACATGTAAATGCATTAGGTGCCTCATAAAAAAATTAATCTGAGAGAACGAGGAGAAATACTCATGTGAAGTTAAGTAGTATTGTTTTCCTTTTTGGAATACTTCGTGGGGTCAAATTAAATGTCTTGTTAGGAACAATTGTTATTCTTAAATTAAGGGGGCACTGGCAGGGGCAGGGGCAGTATGGTTAAAAGCATTATTACTATTATTATTATTATTATTATTTATTTATTTATTTGTTTATTTATTTTTATTCTCCCTTTTTTCTTAAATATCTAGCCAAGATTTATTTCGATCAAAAAATGACTCAATTAGCTTCGAGTGCTTGGTTTAATAATTTTGTGTAAATTTTTGGATGATTTTTGGGAAAGTTTTTAGTGTGAAAAAATTAAGGGGGGTGTTTAAAATTTTGGAAAATTTGAAAACGTTGGATTTGGGGGTTACTGAAAAATAAAATGTGAAGTGAATAATTGGTAGACACATACCACATAGTCCCTCACCACAACAAGTTGCCACTGATCCCATTAGCTGACTAACTGGTTTATGTGTATACCTTTTCTACCCTAATTTATTTCTTTCTGAAATCAACATCGTTTACCCAAAAACAACCAGAATACCTTTGTTGTTACTGATTTTATTTACTGTATAATTTTCTGATCATCCTAATCAAGGTAAGCAGGGATGCTCTTCGAAGAGGTGACGTCGATGCCGATTCTCTAAGGAGGCAACTTACTGATATGGAACGAACCTTTGTGGAAGTAAAGGAAAGAGAAGATCAAATTAAACAGAAGAATATCGTCTTGGAGTCGCAAATCGTGAGCCTTGAGAATGTTTACCGCTCAAGCCAAGAGGATCGTGATGTCCTGGAACGAGAAGTCCAGTCTCTTCAATCCGCGCTAGAACTCACGAGGGCATCACTTGACGAAGATCGCGAAGAACTTGAAAGTTTGAGGTCCGAGACCCAAGGAATGAGGAATAAAGTATTTACTTTGGAAACACAGCTTCAGCGAACTGAAAAGATCAAGGAGGGACTAGAGCAACAAGTTAATATTTTCACCTCACAAGGTAGTGATATTGATGGAGAACTCATCCGCCTTCAAAGACGAGTCCAGGAACAGTATATTCTCCTAGAATCTCAAATGAAAGATTTGAAGAACAAAGACGAAGCTGTTGAAATGTTTAAGACTGAGAACAGGAATTTGCAAAATGATGTCAGTGGTCTGCAAGAGGAGATTACCAGCATAAGGTCTAGTTTGGACGTGCTCCAACAAAATAAAGATGGAGCTGATAAGAAGTTGTTTGACGCAATGAAGCAGAGTTCCGAGTTTGAACTTCGCCTTGGTGCAGCATTGGAGGAACACGAGGAGATAAACAGGGAGTTGGCTGAAAAGCAAGAGAAGGTTTCCAGTCTGGAACAAGAATTGTACCAAGCATTGAGAGACCTGGCCAATGTAAGGCACGAACTAGACGATGCAAAATCTCGAGCAGCAAAGGACAAGGAAGATATTGTTAGTTTGCAAAGTGGATTGAACAACAAAGAGATCACGTTTGAGGAGTACAGAAAAAGCGATCAGGAGAAGGTCGACAAAATTGACTCTTTACAGTCTAACGTCCATAAGCTAGAGCAAGAATTAAAGTTGTCGACTGAGGAGCTCTCTAATGAGAAGGAAAAACATGGCCACGCTCAAGAAGAAATTACTAAATTGCAAACAGAGTTGGAGGCTCAAGAAGCTAGTATAGGTGAAATGGAACACGCTATTGAACGACTAAAGAACGAAAGCGAAAAGCTCAGAAAAGAGGGCTTAGCTAACAAAGATATCGCTGATGAGTTGAGAGAAAGGTATCAAACAGTGGAACGAGAACATGAAAATCAACAGTATGAACTGACGTCGCTACAGCAAAAGCTGACATACTTGGAATCAAGGTATAGCAGTGTTACTGAGGATAAGAATAAGATGAAGGAGGACTGTGGTGCCTTGAAACGGGACGCTTCTGAGATGAAGAGTGCCCTGGATGAAGCACAACGCGAGAAGAGCAGACTTGAAGGCGAGATAGCGGCTGTGAGACAACAGAGTTCTGATTTACAGAGCAGGATAAGTAACATTCTTCTGGAGAAAGACAGATCGAATGAGGAGGTCTCTTCAATGAATAGCTCGTTATCTGCTTTGCAAGTAGATTACAGCATCGTTTTGTCTCAGAAGGAAGACAAAGAAAAGAAGATAATGGAGCTTAATAATAAGTTGTCCAAGAACATTCTGGAACACAGTGATTGCGACCGAACAAAAGACAATTTACAAGGAGAGGTTCGCAGATTACAACGCAAGGTAGACGAGCTAGAACACACGGTTGTCTATCTGGAACAAAAGGATAAAAATGTCCAAGAAGAGTCGATTGAAGCACACAAGAAGATAACAGCTCTCGACCAAGAGTTGATTATTTACAAGAATAAGATTGCAAGAATGGAAGCTTTTGGTGGGGTAAACGAAAGAAAAATCCGAATGCAAAATGATTCACTCTTAACGGCGGAACAGAAAGTAACACAGCTAGAACTTGCGATGACTGCGAGTCTGGAGAAGGAATCCAAGCAACAGAAAGATATTTTTGATGCACAAAAGAAAGCAACAGACTTCGAAGTCGCTTATCAAAGAAGCGAGTCTGAGAAGAATCGACTGCAACAGGAAATGAACTCGTTTAAGAGCAAATTGACAACGGGTGAATTTAAACTTCAGAGAGAGACCAAAGAGAAAGAACAACTTGAAGTCCAGCTTCAGGAGGCAAAGCTTAAGTTGGAAAACCTCAAGTTGGAGTCAACAAAAAATCAGCGAAAACTCGCAGAGCAACAGCACGATTATGAGCTCAAGTACAGAGACTACGAAAGCATGATGGTAGCCATTGAGAACCTTCGTGCGGAAAGGAAAATTTTTGAAAAAGAAGTTGAAAATCTGAAAAGGGATCACAGTAACGCCAAGCTTAGCACAAGCAAACTTGACCATGAAAACAGAGATTTAAAGAACCAGTTAGAAGCTAGTAGAGAGCGCATAATAGATGTTGAATCTGCCGCTGAGCAGATCAAAAACGAGTGCGACAGACTAAGGAACGAAGTTCTTCTCCTGGAAACCTCATATCAGGAGTCACAGCTTATCTGTGACATGTTAAGGAAAGAAAAAGAAGACCTTAGTTCGCAGCTTCTGGAATCATCACCTCCTGGGATGGATTTTGGATCGGAAGACTCCGTGAAGAAAGAAAAAGAAGACCTTGAAAGCCAGCTTATGAAAATAAAAAGTGAGCTAGAATCAGCGCTGAGATCTGCCCACGAAAAAATGGTCTCTGAGAAAACTAAAGCTGAAGAACAAATTCTAGCGTTGAAAAGGAAAAATTCTGAATTACAAGCAGATAACCAAGTAGCTCATCGTGACAGCACTAGGGCCTCACTGGAGATTGAGGAAACTAAAAACAGGCTTCGTGAATTAGAATTGTCCTACGAACAAGTTAGACTGACCAAAGAAACGTTTCAATGTGAAGCCAGTGAGGCGCAGAGGAAGCTAGCTGCACTTGAGGCGAGCTATGAGCTAAGTGAAAGCCAGAGGAACGATTTGAGCAGAGAAGTGGCGAGTTATGAAAAGAAGCTTGCATTGATGGAATGCTCGTACAATAGAATTCGTGAAAGGGAGACAGATCTGGAAGGGGAATATCTTGAATCTCACAAGAGGGTAACGGAGATGGAGTACGAACTACAGGCCAAGACAAAACTGTTAGACGAGGCGAGAGCCATGGTTCAAGAAATGGACGAAAAGAGCGATGTCCTTCAAGTTGAAGTTCTAGAATTGCAAACCAAGGTCTCAGAGTTAGAGGCGACGTGTGAAATGTGGAAAGACAAAGCAAGGAGATGGGAGGACCAAGCACAGACGGCCGAACGAAAAGCCAAAGAAACCGAAGAGACTTACAAATTCGGACAGCTTGAAAAGTCTGAACAACAGCGCGAGCTTGCGGCGCTGAGAGATAATATTTCAACTCTGGAATCTGAACTCAAAGATAGTAAGAGAGAGAAAGAAGATTTGCTTGGCCAAATGGAAGATTTAAAGAACGCCAGTTCTAAGGATCACAATACAGTTAATAGCCTTAAAAGGCAGGTCAATGAATTGGAAAATAAGGTTGATGATGCAAATAGAGAAACTGAAGAGAAAGAAACAGCTGTGGAAGATTTGAAAAGGCAGAAGGTACTTCTAGAAGATGAGGTGGAAACTTTGAGGGGAGAACTACGAGAGAGAGAAAAAGTCAGTGACGATTGTGTCAAAGAAACGGAGAAGATTCGTCTTCAGCTCGAAAACATATCAGCAGAACTGCAAGAAACGGAAAAAAAATTGAAAGTATGCGAAGAAGAGAAAGAAAAGATGCGAAACGAGAAAATATCAGCGCATAATCTTCTCTGTACATTGCAGGATAACAGCACAACGAATGAGGTTCACGATGGAATACTGCAGCTTGAGATGGAGTACTTAAGGAAGAAATTGTCGGATATAGAGTTGGAGCTGCAAACGTCCAAAGCAAAGAACGAGACATTAAAGCAAGATCTTCGTGGTTACCAAGATGGATCCAAGGATTGGGAGTTAAATGAAGAGATCAGAAGATTGCGGTTTGACCTTCAAACGAGCTTAGAGAAACACCGAGATCTCGAACGATTTTGCAGAGGAAGTGAAGAAGAGAAGACGAGGTTGCAACAAGAGCTTTTAGACGCGCACAAGAAGGCGTCGGAGATGGTAAAAGCGCACCAGTATTGTCACCAGGAAAAAGAAGCACTGAAAAATGAGATCGCTTCATTGAAAAAAGCACTAGACGAGCTCTGCAGCAGACGCGAGGACGCCCAAGACAATAAAGCCGATCTTCAACAGGAAGTTTTGGATTTGCAGCGGAAGTTTACCAAAGTGGAAAACATGTACGAACAAGCTCAATGCGATAACAAAAGACTGAGTTCACAGTTAGAAGAAGCAGAAAAGAGGGTTCGAGATCTTGAAGATGAGCTCTTTAGCACACGCCATGAAATTAATCAACTCAAAAGCGCTTCTTTCAGCAATGAAGAGAAAACGTATTTTGAAGAGAGGATCCTTTCAATGGAGTCAAAGTATACAGAGCTCGAAACGTCCTATTATAGTCTTCTTCATGAGAAGAAAGAAATATTTGATGAGCGTGAAGTGAAGAGTCAGGAGTTGCAACGTCTTCAGAGGACATTAGAAGAGAAAACAAGAGATGCCGAGTATTTAGAAAGGCAACTGGAAGAGTATAAAAACAGTTCCAGTTCGGAGAAAAATCGTCTTCGGGATGAGCTAGAGGAGGCTCTCGAGAGACTGCACAGAAGCGAAGCTGAATTATCTGAGAAAGTCTTTGAGAATGAGCGCTTAATCGACGAACATCAGCAAACTATATTTGAGAAAGACAGCCTCATCAGTGAGCTAAACGCTCAAATAAGCTCACTCAACTTTGAAGTGTCCACCTTGAAGAGAGAGTTAGCGTATAGCAAGGATGATAAAGACAGCTGGAGTGAGGAGATGGCGCGGTATAGGGAAGAAACGTTTACTCTAAGAAAAGAACAATCTCGTGCAGAGGAAGAACTTCGGCTTATTAAAGATGACTACGAAGGAATGAGAGACAAGTTAGCAGCCATTAAAACAGAGAAGGCTCGATGCGAAGAGGAAAACGAAAAACTTAAGGAGGAGATGTCAGAGATTCGGCGCGGAGTAGTAGATGTCAAAGATGAATTAAGGTCCGCCAATATGGAGGTTGAGAGGTTAAAACGGGAACTGTCCATGCACAAGTATGAGTATGATTCACTCGAGAACGAGAAAGTTAATCTCAAAGAAGAACTTTCAGGAGTGAAGTTAAGTAAGTCTGAGGTTCAAGACGAACTAAGGCGGGTAAAACGAGAGCTGGAGAAACTCCAGCGAGAGGCTGGAGTAAAAGGACGAGAGCTTGACGCCTGGGAAAAAGAGAAGACTTTGTTGCAAGAAGAGATTAAGTCTTCGAGAGTTGAGAGGTTCAATCTTAATGAAGAAAACCGGGACCTTATGCGAGAAATTGAAAGACTGAAATCGCAGCTCATGTCGAAAGAAGGTGTGGCTGATGAAGTAGGACAAGTGAAGAAAGAGAAGGACCAGATTTACTATGAGTATACGATCATCAAGGAGAAGTACACTCGGATAGAAATTGAGAAACAAACTCTGATTCAGGAGAAACAATCCTTGGAGTTTGACCTCGGAGATTACAAGACCAAACTACAAAGGTACTTGTCGTTTTATACAACTGACTTTGATTTCCCTATATAAAATTCTAAACTGTTAATGTTTTAAGTACAACAACTACTGCGACCATGGAATGAGGTGCTAAACATAGTTTTAAAAAAGCTTCGGTTAACAGCAACATATAGATGTTCTGTTCATATGGTTTTAGATTTGATAGAATACATCTCTCAGTTCCTATTAAACGGCTACACAAACTTAAATTCCTAAGATTATATGCCTCCTGAAGCTGAGGATAAAGCTAAAACAATGAATAAACAATGAAGAATTTTGAAAGCGAATTAAAGGGTTTTAAACTCAGGTCTAAACCACGGACTTTAAAATTTAGTCTATTATTAGTATTCTATTCTTTGAATTATTAATGATCTCTATTGAGCGCTTTTTCAATTCTGTTTGTACTAAGGTGCGAGGACTCCAAGAAACACTTAGAGGAGGAGAAACGACGGTTGGAATATGAACTAAGTATAGCGAAAGAACGACTCTTAATTGTTGAACGTGAGTTTGATTCCAGAGCTGTAGAAAAAGAGCAGATATCACAAGAAATCAGTGGTACACGCACTGAACTCAGAAAAATGGAAATTGAGTTGCAGAACGCTTTAAGAAAACTCAGAGATGCAAACGATGACGTCACAGCCAGGCAGAGTCGTCTGGAGAGACTGGAACGAGAGCTTGAAGACCAGCGAGAGGAGTGTAGATTACAAGAATTTGATCGCGAGAAGAAGGCCGAACAGGTTGAGTAACATCTATTTGATTACACCAATCTTCTTTATCCTCTAAGTACACCATTTGTCCTTGGGTCAAATTGAAAAGTGTTTGACTCATTTTCCTAAGTACAGCTGTCCGCCTTATCGTCCCTTTTCATAATTGGCATTCTTTTGTGTGTCGTTGTTTAATAGAAAAGGACGGTTAAACAGAGTGCTTACTTTAAAAATAGTTTATCAAACGCCTAATGACTGAAGCAAGGATTGGCATAGTCGGTTGGAACGCGGCCATCTTCCCAGGTGTGACCTCAAATCTTTGTTTCGAGTTCTTTCCTTTCCGTGTAGCTTTAAGTAGTTTATACCGAATATAAAAACAGTTTAGTACAGTATGTTCTCGTTATACTTTGTTAAATTGTTTATCATAATTTTACTGTAAGCCACATATAATAACCTGCTTGATCTTGCTTGGCTAAACAGGTTCTTGTATTTTGGGTATTAAAGTGGCAAATTTCTGCCACCAGGTTCTTAATGCACACGTTTTTATTAGCGGGTGTTTACTGTATGCGGTGTATATGCAGTTCTAATTGAAAGTGAGACCTTTCTAATAACAATTACCTGGTTTCCTGCTATGCTTTTTTTAAGAGCTGTACGAGATGTTGCTGACCTTTGAGTCTCTGCATACAACCCTATACTATATGGCCATTAAAAAGAAATCTTTTGACTAATATCTTCATTTAGCGCTCTCAAATTCTAAAAAGAGCTCCGCTTTTAGGCTTGGCTAATTCTATGTTTAGTATTTATTGAATGAGGCTGAGTAGGATGTAAAGAATTATGCGAAGGTGAATGTTATCCACCGAGGCTAAAGGCCGAGGTGGATAACGTTCTCCGAGATCTGCATAATTCTTCACATCATACGAAAGTCGAATTCAATTATTGTTTATTATTCATTCAAAATGTTTACAAGTTCTTAACAAGCTTACCTCCTGGTAGACTTTCTTCAAAACTTTGGCCTATTTCTCGGTTTTCAGGGTATAAACAGGTATTTAATCTTGCAGATACTCTTCAAAAAGTAGATAAAATCCATCGAGCCTAGTATGTTTTGCGTATTCTTTCATTTCTTCCATTCAGTCCAAGGCAGAAGTTCAGCCATTTCGTCTTCGAAAAGCCGTGAAAGCCATTGTTTAGTTCACTTTTGCCCAGGCAGCGTCTTTTCCAATCAAATATACCATCGAATCGATGTTATATTGCTCACATCTTCCAAATTTGGTAAGCGCCCTTTCCTTATGAAGAATTAGCCGGGGAATTGGAGCCAGTCAGGAACGGCGAAATATTTTGAATGAATAATGGGTCATGTTGAATAAAAAAAATTATAAATTTGAGTTTCGGTATTTTGGTATTTTTTCTACCTAATGTAAGGTTCTGCGTTCTGACCCAGTCATCATCAGGCCGAAGCATATCCCGGTTTCCACGAAGCGACCGGAAATTCTACTACCCCTCTCTAGACGGGATGCTTGTCCATCGCAGGATTACCCTTCCCCGCCCCCAACATAAAATTCGCCTTAACCGATTTATACACCAGGGTGGAGTAAGGTGCTGTGGGATTTAAGTGTGTTTGTGTCTTGACCAAAACTCAACACAATGACTCCAGCCAGGGCTTAAACCACGGCCACCTTATCTAGGGTCTAGTGTACTAAAGTAAGTAAGCACATACGTAAGGAACTGGCCATTCCGCGGAGTTGGTAGTGTGTGTTTCAGTGCTGAACTTGGTGTACCGCACTAACCATAATATACCTAATGTACCACGTTTTGTTTAGGTGAGCACCTTGCAGCAACGGATTGAAGAGCTTGAGGCTGAGATTCAAAGCTTGCAAGATGATTTAGTCCTCAGTCATAGAGCTTACGAGCAGTGCAAGAAACAGCTGGAAGAAAGGCAGCCAGATTCAGAGGATCAGACAGAAACCTCAACCCTCTCTTTTGATGTCAAAGGACGACCACAACAAACCACAACACTGGGGATTGATGTTCAACCTCAGATTACAACGCTGGATATTAATTTGAGTCCTACCCAAAGTTTTGACTACAGTTTTACACCTCAAACCACTGCAACAGAAATGAAATTCCAGCCACAGACGACAGTGGAATACATACCGGAACAGATCACAGCCATGGAATATGAGGTTAGCCCACAGACAACCACTACACTGGATATTGACGTGCAACAGCGTCGCACAACTACTGAACTAGAGATTGATATCGAGCGAAAATCGCGACCTTCTCCTCCTACGTCATGGACCACCGGAAGTACGTCATCATTTCAGGTGTACAGGGACCGAAAGTACGGTCCGGTACAGTTCACTCTTGAAGAAGAGGATGATGGGGGATTCGAGATTGCGCAAATTGAGAACAGAGATAGTGCAAGAAGAAGATAGAAATACTGAAACACCTTTGGGCTGTTTAACACTGAAAACAACCGTTAATATAGGCTCTATTAGGTACTTACTTCTTATGCGGTAGAAGAAATGTTCTGGATCTTTTTTAAAAAAAATCATAATTGCCAGTAGATTTGGTGTGCCGTACATGAGGTGTCTATCAGCCAAGAGGTTGATTCTAGGCCCCATCCACATGAATTGGAAAACATTTGGCTTCAGTTCGGGGGGGGGGGGTACTGTCATATTTGGGCTATATAGGTGTGTGCCACTGTGAAGGCTATGGTTTTCAAGAAGTTTACTCTGGGATATGGTTTTCAAGAATAGAGTTTTTTCCTGGGATGGGGTTGAAGGGTGACCAGGAAACCGGAATTGCCACTCAAAAATATAAAAAAATCAAATCGGTTTTGTTTTGGCTGGACTGTGCTAGTGACCTCAGTAGTTTCTGAAAAAGAGCTACTCTAAAATGATTTGATTTTATTCTGGTATAGGGTAGCAAAATTCAGCTGAACCTCTGGTGTTTCCAACACATCCTCACCCGTTTCTACACGGTGTTTCATTCCCAAAAATCCGTCGAGTCCGAAAAGACTATCCCGGAGAGTAGTTTATCTGGATTCGTGTCGAAGGGGCCTTTGTTACCTCTTGCACGCTAATATTCTCACGCGATATTTTAAAAACATTTTTTATGGGAAAGCAAACACTTCATTTTAAAAATGATAAAACCAGACCATGTCAATTGACAGATTTCAGTGAGTGTTGAAATAATTTAATTATTTTATATGGATCATTTTAACAACGCTGTGAGTGTCCATGTCCTTTCAATTGAATTTATTTTATATGGATCGTTTTCCTCGCTCTTCGCCGCTGGGGACGTTTCGCGAGGTATTGTCCATGTCCTTTCCCAAAGAGCGAGGAAAACGGATGTTTTCTATAAAAAAAAGTTCTTTAGAACAATAATCTAATTCAAAACTGGTGAATATTTAGATTAGAGCCTTTTGGCAGAATTTTGATGAGAACGTTTTACCGTATCTATATGGAATGAAAATTATACCAAGCATTTTTAAAATGGCAATGCACTGGACTAACGCACGAGTGCACCATCTTGTAAATGTAAAGTATTTATATAATTTAAGAGAACGTTACAGCGTCGTAAAACACATTTTGTGGAAGGGTTTCAAAGGGGAGAGTTCATTAAGCTTTCACTTTAATCAAGTTATTTCAAAAGTAGGTTCTACATTTTTAACAATATTTTTAAATGCTTCAGGTTACAAACATTTTGATGAACCAGTCTGTATTTCATATTATTTAGTTCATATTACAAATTTTTGGTTTTCCTTTTAAAAATCAAATGTTGTAGAAAAACGTTGCAATAAAAAAAACTTTCTAGGTGAAAAGAAGCTGCTACCTATACACTTTTTCCAGGTTCTTGTAGAGTGTTTAAGAAGTCGTCAAAAATTGTTTACGTGTTACTGTAGACTGGGGATTCTCCAGCAAGGACAGGAAAAGCCAGCGTTTTAACCCATTAAGACGGACTCCATCAGGAAATTCAGTAATTTTAATTGTCAGTGGACAAAAACCTTGCACCAGAATAATTTTAAGCATATTGCATTCTTTTTCACATTTTTCAAGGGCTATAAATGTAATTAGTTATCTGTAATAACAAGGTGTACTACTAACACCAAAGAAAATTTCTTATGGGAGCCCGAGAAAATAAATATCAAATTTCACAAAATGACATCTTACGCATGAAATTTTCAGAATTTTATCTGTGTTTTCACATTTCTTGTGAAATATATCGACATATATTTTCTCAGGCTCCCATGAGAAATTGTCATTGGTGTTATTACAGATAACTAATTATATCTATAGCCCTTGAAAAGTGTAAAAAAGAATATAGTGCGACGTTGTTAAATTTTTCTGGTACAAGGTTTTTGTCCCCGGCACTGAAAATTAAAATTACTCAATTTCCTAATGGACTCCGTCTTAAGTTAAGTTGTCAGTCAAACCCCGATAATAAGGACACTGAAGAGGCCATAGAAAATGTCCGTAATAATTGGGTGTCCTTATTAACCAGGTTGAAAATGTAAGGACTTTCTTTCCCCAAGGACAAAGCAAACAGTCCGCATTAACCCTTTGACTGCCAAATGTAGCCAAAGGCAAATTTCGACCAAGTGCAAATTTCATTTTGTAAAATGTTGAAAAACAAATAGCACCATGTGTAAGGACAGGCAGAGAGCTTTCATTTGAATGGTCACATCATAGGATTTCGTCCGCAGACTCAAAAGTTAGAGTCATCCTATAAAACTCCATCAAGCACTCTGGCGGTGAAAGGGTTAATGAGGTATTCCGCAAATCAAGCGTGTATCCGTAAAGTGCGATTTGACTGTACTAGAGATAACGAATCCCGTCATACTGTTGTGGTCAAATGCCCAGATTGGTGCACTTTGAGGACTTAATTCTAATTTCCAGACGAGACCCGTCTTTTTTCATACGGAAGTCGAATCAAATAAGGTTTCTGGTGAAGCTGCCCACCTACCCCTCCCCTAACCCAACATTTTGCCCTAAGTGAGAACTAAGTGTAAAAAATGCTGACTTAGAGGAGCGGTAGTGGGCAGTTTCCCAGAAGCCTAAACTGAAGTCTCCTCTCGGGCTATGAACCAAAGGAACTGCTTGCTGTAGGTTTCTCTGGCCCGTCTTTCAAGAGTACAGTGCATTTCCAAGAGACTTTACCGGGGCCAGGGAAGATGGGGGGGGGGGTTCCCACATCAACGAAACGTCGTCTCGCTTAGGGATGATCTCATCTTGAATGTTCCGGGCAAAATATCAAATTTCTTTGCTGTCGAGATCTCGTTTAGGGTTGCACCTGAAGATATACAGTCGACTCTCTCTTAATGGACACCTCGGTAAAACAGACACCTAGATTTTTTCTTTATAAGACAGCCATCTCTCTAAGACGGACACTCAGTGCCGGTCCCAAAGAGAGAGTTGACGGTATATAGACCCATCAATTCTATTTTCACAATTTTGGTATCTTTTGAGACCGGTTCCTAGCCAGCGTATCATGGCGGTTTTGTCCGACGCACTACTGAGTGGCGAAGCCGCGAAAAAATAAAAACCTCTTGTTGCTCCCAATCTCCTCGCGGTTTCTCTGCCCTCGCCCCACTTTATCACTTTGTGCGCCCAGCCAAAACCGCCTTGCCTCTATGCTAAGCGGGCTAGCCGGGTCCAAAAAGCCTGAGTCGCAGCCACATTGGTCTCCTTACTGAGAGCAAGAGAGAATAGCTCATTCTCTCTTGCTGAGAGGCATCCCGGGAGTCTTTCGATCCCGAGGGGTAGAACACAGTGCAGGGAGACCCCCTGCCCGGTTAATGACACCCAAGTCGAATTCGGGCATTCTTACGCTGCTCTCTGTACCTGCTCCAATAGGTCATGCACGATCAAGTACTGAGCTACATTATAGTTCGTGATATCAGCCCTTATCAGTTCTTGATTGATCTAAGTGGAAACAAATTACATTTTAAAGTTACAATTTCACAACATTACAACATCTCGAATTCCTTGAGGAAAAACATAAGCGGTCGTGATAATGACAATCACAGAGGATGCGAATTCCATTCGTTTCAAGAGATATATATATGTTCTATAACAACATTGAAATATGACAGCATATACATCCCCTCTTGAATATGATGATTGACTTGAAGTGTACAACAATACAATATGGTGTTCAGGGCCCGGGGGGGACTCCCTATAATGGCCTATACAGGGAGGCTCCGTCCGAAAGAGCCCCGGGAAAGAGCTACCTTTTTCAGCCTTCAGGACAATGAAAGGGGGTAGGAAATAATTCACCGGTTGAAGTTTATGGAAGGAGATGGAAACCCGTCATGTCGGTTGGTAAATGGACTGAAAAGGACTAATAGGCGTATCCTAGGCTGTAAAATGGTCGAGAAAAACTTCCTGTTGTAGTGATTTCTTCATATTAAAATTAAAGAAGAGCAGTGTGCTTACTAGGTAAATGACTCCAAGGGGAACCTTCTCTGTCAGAAATGGTCTGATCCAGGTCTACTAAAGATCCGGCTGACTCTCACTGGTTTGTCGTTGTGGTTTTGCCTTCACAAGTGTTTGTTATAAGAGGGACTAAGAGGGTGTAATTGGTAGGACATCATGGGGCGATGCTGTCAACTGCTCACCCCCCGGGTTGTGTGTATGGTTTTGTTAGCAAGATCGAGATATCAGGAGATTAAGATTTCGTGATGCTTTCGAAAAGACAGTTCCATCAGAGAGGCTGGTTTGAAATGGATAGGGCAATATATTAATGAACAAGTGCTGATTGAAAGCTCAAATGCCAAGAAAAATAATACCGGCATTTACCAGCTATATTACCGACCGTGAATACTTCACATTCCAAATGTCTCACATGATGACCTTTGATTCTTGGCGGCGGCATTCAGCATGTGGTTTTAGCCTTTGGCTTCGAAAGTGGGCTCAAATTAGAAACCTGGTAAATCGGAAAACCCACGTGTGTATCTACAACAAACAGCCTTTATAGGAAATAATTATCAAAGAACTGCTTTCGTTTGAAAGGTCAACGTTCACCCTTCCTTTTGTTTCATACCCAGACTCAAAAATTAGAACTACTATCTGATTTTCTACAGCATAACTAATAATAGTAAGATAAGAACATATTTGGATCGTGAATCTACTGAAGCAATTATTCATGCTTTCGTGACTACCAACATCTTGGATTACTGTAATGCGATTCCATATGGACTACCTAAAGTTCACTTAAACCGCCTACAGCTACATTTTAGTTCAAAATAGACCGGGAATAGAGCAGCGCGTATCGTAACATTCACCAAGAAGTATGAACATATTACATTGGTTGCCTGTTGAATACCGTATTATTTATAAAATCTTATTGTTATTATATAAAGCTATCAATGTATTTTCACCGAGTTTTATATCCATTTTGTTCAGTTTTTGTAACAACTCCTACTCTAAGTTACTTCAAGTTCCGAGATCTAAGTTGAAGTCTTGATCGAAGATTATTATTATTAGTAGTAGTAGTAGTAGTAGTAGTAGTAGTAGTAGTAGTAGTAGTATTATTATTATTATTATTATCATTATTATTATTATCCAATTAAATTGCACGTCTTAGTATAATGGCAGACGACAAAGCTTTAAACAGAATAACCCTATGCAGGCCTTTGTCTGCAGACACAAATCTACTTATTAGTTTACAAACACCTTAGAATGTATCATGGCTTCCTTGAAATAAGATGGATAAGAAGTGGTTAAGAAAGCTGAAAGTTTTAAATAAAGGTCTTAACTGATTGGCTGCCTTGGCTGATGTTCGACTTAGTGTAAATCTTCATGTAATCAAGTGCCTCCATGGCGCCTTAAACAAAACACCGCAGTGATTTTACGAAATAGATACTTCTCAATCAACTATTGTTATCTTTGTTATTATTCGGAAAAAAATCCGAGCCCCAGCGGGAATCGAAGCAACCCACGACCTTCCAGATACCGGTAGGACGCTCTAACCACTGAGCTATGCGGAGACTCACATCGGATAGCAGGTCGCAGTTTTTGGGGGAAGCCACATGACTTCACATCTCGCGAGTACGCGGGACTAAAGCAATGTAACACACTGACTTACTTTACATCACGCAAGCACCTTAGGAAAGTGTTGTGTACACTTTGAAGCCAACCAACCACCGAAGTATCTACTACTGAACTAGTAAATATTCTAATCATCATTATTATTATATTATTAATATCTATTTTTAATTACTATCATTAGCATTATCATTATTACTATTATTATTATCATTATTATTAACTCTTTTACGCAGTGGACAAAAAAAAAATTGACAAAATTCAAAATTCTATTTGTTAAATGCTGAATAATAAATAGTACCGTGTAAAAGTCCTGCTGAAGAGGTTTCATTTGAATTGTTACACCACATGAATTCATTAGCAGTCTCAAAAGTTAGAACTACATTGTAAATAAATAGTACCCAACCTCGTCCCCAGGGCTTTTTCCTCAACAAAAATGAGGGAAAAGCCCTAGGGACGAGGTTGAATAGTACCGTGTGGAAGTACTACTGAAGAGGTTTCGTTTGAATGGTGACACCAAAGGATATCATCCACAAACTCGACGGTTAGAACTATAAGCTAAATAAATAGTACCATGTAAAAGTACTGCTGAAGAGGTTTCACCTGAATTGTCACACCACAGCATTTCATCCACAGACTCAAAGGGTAGATCCACCTTAGGGTCTTCATCATTTACTCTTGAATTGAAAGGGTCTGGAAGGTCGGTTCCACTTCTCATGACTGGGTGTGATTTTAGCTTTACACAGGCAGTGTGATCTTGACTTGGTCCCGTTCAAACTGCATGCTTTCTGCGGTGTCACTCTGTGAGGGTCCAAATTCTTAAAAATGATCAACTCTCTCTAAGACAGGCACCTTTGGTACTATGTGTTTGTCTTAGAGAGATGTGCGTCGTTATATAGAGCCCGGCGGAGGGGGGGGGGGGTAATTGGGTTAATTTTTGCTGGGTATGAGCCGCTGGCCTCTTAGAGCCCCTACCCCATTATAATCTATTCTGTGGCCAATTATAGACCCCATCTTAGTCACTTTTGGGCAAATGTGTAATTTTCGCGATCTCTGCTTAGTCACTATTTTCTTTTATGAATTGACCCATTTTTTTAGATTGAATGAAGAATACTTTACTTTTTATCTACAGTACAAACATTTTGGTACGTTTGCTAACCGTAATTTACGCGTAAATATGAAGAATTGTCATGTCTTACCCCAAAAACTCTTAGAATGTGCGACCCCATTCTAGTAACTCTATTGAAAATGCGACACCATTATAGTCAATCCAGTCGTGAAAATGCGACCCCATCCAGCGGCACATCCCCATTAGCCTCTTATAAGGAAGTACACCCCCCCACCACACCCCCGGGCTGTTAAGAGAGTATTAATTGACTCATAAAAAGCAATGGTCAATAGCTCTCATTCCAACGGTCACACTTTAGACCTTCAGCCAAAGTCTAGTCTGAAACATCACACCGTGCTCTACAGCATAATAATAAAACAGCCCGGCAGCAAAGTGCTATTCCCCGGAGGGAACTCCGATGTGAAAACGAAAACTGAGGCCAGGGACGCTTTTCGGAAAATTAGATTAAACCCTGAAGAAGACCAATCTGGGCGTGGCTGTCTGGCCCTAAAAAAGTGACATAACAACATATAATAACAGCAGTTTTTTATATACTGGGAGATATTTGTACGTTACGCACAACCTCAAGTAACGCTAAGCGACACCTGTGTGCATATAGGTAAAAATATATTAGACCTCCTCACACTTACTCCTCAGAGAACGCTGCTTTTATTACACCGTAGGTAATTTCATCGCGAGATTTAAGACACAAAATTAAGAATTAAGAAGTCCAAAACTTTGTTTGAATATCTGACTAGACAGATTAAATATATAAGAAACGATTTCCGTATAACTCTGTGCAATATAAAGAGATGCCCGTTTAGAAAGAGAAAGTGAAACACCACACAGACATCGCTCAGTATAAAACGGAAGTCTTACGTATACCAAATTGATATATTATATGTGTCTAGACTGGCACATGTCCGACACACCGAGAGTCACATGTTTAGAACCTTGATCCTCAAAAGAAAGGCGCGTTTATGCCGGTTGCCATCAACGCAAAATAAAAACCCGCAGAGACATTCCTTTCATCTCGTTCTCGCTTAGGTCTTAAACGGAGCAGTTGATTATCGGTGAACAGCGCCCACGTCATTTCTGCAAGTAAAAGGTGGGTAAGACTTTTATTAGTAACAAACTGAGCTTAGCAGCTTCCAATGAACCTGCCGCTGCAAATGCAATCAGAGAAGCGTTTAGCTTGCGCGCTTTTAAGCAAATAAGTCGGTCAACATCGATGTCTTCTCGTGATGCAGCATGCACCCTAGTGTCACACGCCATCACCGCCTAGCACGCATCCACGCCACCGTGTTTTCACTGATAACGATCGTCGAGCGCGCGAGCTCCATATTTCGCGATAACCTTATATCTACTCCGATATAGTTCGGTCGTGTTTCCGATCTGAAGCTTTTCGGGTTGGATATGGGGCTTACGTTCATTAAATGGCTCGCTCTGTATTTTGAGGACCTTAAGAAATAGTTTGAGGTTACTCCAGTTAAAACATTATTGGAGGGGAAAGAAAAACAGGGCGGAAAACAAAGCACTTCATGATCAAGCTTAACTTCTATCTATTCCCCCTCAATCTTAATTTGTAAAGAAATCTTGATTATTTGCCAGTATAAAGATATTAGCGAAGAGGTTCATCACCTACTCAGAATGTCACAGTGAGTGGATGAATCGGGGGTCCTACCCCCTCCCTACAAATGTGTCCATTAGACCAGCGAAAACGTTAAGTCATTTCACGACTGTTTGCTTTGTCGTTCAAATTGCTATCACTTAAGGATCCCGAGAAAGGATTTCCGCAAATTAATTTACTAGAAATAATGTTTACCGGCGCGGAAATTTGCTTTAACATCGTATCGGCAGTGAGCTTAATTTTAGACGGGCCTTCCGATAAAAACATCCTCGGATCCGCCCCTGAGGGGCCAATTACGGTTTTATTCAAATAAAAACGGAAATTACCTTCAATACCAAGCTTTTAAAATAACTATATAACTGCTGCAAAAAAAAATTACTTCATACTCTCGGTTTGCGGAGCATTCTTAGCTTTAAAATTTGTTTCTCGGTGATTCACGAACAAACATCTGCAATACATCAAAACTTGTAAATGCTGAGAGGATAAAGAATTATTTCGAGTTTGAAATAAAATGGACTCCGACCATTATAGGCTCATGGCACGCTTCTTTCAAAGACCTATCATTTCCGACATATTATGGATTTTAAAGAACTTCCGTTTCAAATTGTCATAAAGGGATTAGGAATTATCGAGTTAATTCTCCGGAGGACGATTTATGCAATCCAGTCTCAATACCTTGGAATGTAAGCGCCATAACACCCAAAGATCACGGGGCTTGCACACAGGTCTAGAAACGTATTGCTCCGTCCAGATTTTCGAAACAACACAAACCGTCTCTCAAGTTTTAAAAGATCAATTCGTTCAGGCATCCTGTCTTTCAAATTTTTACATGGGCATTTCTCGACGTGTATCGGCACTTAGCAGTCAGTTTGGAAACACTCAATATAATCACAGACCATTTTTTCGATGTCATGCAAGAGCTCTAACAGGAAATACACGTTGATCTTTTGAGCTCTTTTCACATTTGAAATTTCTGCTCAAGAAAAGAATGGTATTTCCCGAATTTTTCAGCTGTTGTCGCCGCCAAAACCATAACTGACCTTATGTCACACAGAAAAGGATCTCTTATCCTCCCACGCAGAAGACGAAAAAGAAATTTCCGTTGGTAAATACAATAACATCAATTTTTTTTATCGCCAGAAAACAAAAGCTAATATAAAAGTACCCTATATTTTATTATTATTATTATTATTATTATTATTATTATTATTATTATTATTATTATTATTATTATTATTATTATTATTATTATTATTATTATTATTATAACCCTCCCTTCCTACACGTAATAATATGGCAAGATGGGGATTATCACAAAGTCCTGACTGCTCCTGTTTGCCTTAATCCTGAATCACTCATTGTTGCTGGTTGTCAACAGTACCTTGATCGCTTCACCTGGAGACACTACTCAAACCTTAACTTCATTGCCAAGTCACTTCAACCCCTAATTAATGTTCTTTCTTCACTATATGCCGATGTTAATGGTTTTCTGAATCCTTCAATTACAGAACTGGTGAAAATTATCTTCTTTTCCTAATTCAGTCCAACTGTCTATATGTTCTAGAATAACCAGTTGGCTTCGAGTCTAACCTTAATAACAATGCAAAAGAAAAAAAAACACCTGAACTTGATCAAAGAAATGAGCAGAAATTGCAGATGTGTGAAATTTGTAAACCAGAGGTCCCTCACGACGAGGCAAAAATCTAGAGAGTTCTCTGCTAGCAGGGAATGAGCTTCCTTGCGGCGTTTTCTCCGACGAATGCTCCACGTTCGTAGACATGATGAAGGACATTGGCATCGAAAAAAAGCAGCAACATCATATAATCAAAAAATGATAAGTATACTTAATGAAATGTTTGATTTTTGAATAATTCAATCTCAAGCAGTCAATTGTAAATTGCCCATACGTAGCGAGATTTACAATTCTACATTCAAAACGACAAATGAAGTTTCCATTTAATATTACTATAATAATAATAATTATTATTATTATTATTATTATTATTATTATTATTATTATTATTATCATTATTATTATTACCCTTTTTATCGGCAGTAGAAAAAAAAAGGATTTGATTTTAAGTTTTTTGTTCTCGTGTACTATTTGTAAGGAACTGCTTGCTTGTAAAATACTTCTGATAAACACACCGGCAGGAAATATCTGTCCAGTGGATCAGAGGACTGCCAGCTCTCGCCGTGAGTCCTTTGAAAGGATTCAATTGCAAAGGACTTAGGTCCATTGTTCTTAATGGACGAACTTTGGTTAGGGACACATGTACAGAAACTAAGTGCAATTATCGACAAGACTAGACCATACATTTGTATCTTCTTCAGGGTTGTAGATATTTTGAATACCTCACCGAGTAATAAAGAGTGATAATTCAATTTGCTCTTAATTAGGGAATATAATACGGATTAATCGAATGCCCTCCGTGCACTAACGAGATACATTATGAAATAAATTTAACATAAACGTTTACCATAAACAACGCCCTAGGCATAATGCGTCTGAATAAATATTTATTTAACACGCGAGGCTCGTTAAGGTCATAAGTAGCTCTAATTTTATCTGTAATTGTAACTCTCTGGAGTGCTTTTTCAATAGACGCTATTTTCTTGTTTGCTTTACCAAGGTTATCAACCCGGGGGGTACTTCGGGGAATTCTTGGTGAATTCTCGAATTCGCATATTTCTCTTTCTTTCTTATTCATTTGCAATTGGAAACGGTAAATACGTTCATACACTCCCGTAGTTTCCTCGAAAACCATACACGATTCCAGACCAAAATAGGCGATTAGGACCAAAACGGAGCAAAAACCATACTCTTTGGGGCGGCACATACCCATATGGCTTATTTGAGGGAGTACCCCCCCCCCCGGAGGGGGGGAGGGTTACCAAGATGGAAGAAACGTAATCTCCGGCAGATGTCTGTCATTAGCATTCTTTCCTCCAGCGATTAAATTCTTCGCGGCAACGATAGTGTAAAACGCCGCAACAAAACACGGGGGGGGGGGAGAGTACTACTATAATGACCCGGCCTCTGGTATATAGAAGGGTGAGGATTTCACTAGTTGAAGTATATGGTAGGAAAATCTTTCTTTTCAGTCTGTGAAAAGGCCTCAGACGCTAAAAGATGAGTTTTATGTCTCCGAAAAAGTCCGAGAAAACGCTCCAGTTTTGTCGTTACCGAAAAGACAGTGCATTTACAGCAGTTAAAAGGGACGCTGTGGCTATATGGCCGGTAATGGGTCAAGGTTTTGAAAACACTAAATGACCGGCAGTCCGGTATTTTCTATAAATTTGACTTGTCTAAGAATCCCAACCAACCCAAACTATCACAAGTCGATTAAGAAAAGTCAAGCGATCCTGAAACGCTTTATAAACCTCAAGTTTAGCGTTTGGTTTACGCTGGGCTCAGAAAACGAGATCATGTTCTGTGATACTTACAACTTTTTTCAGCTTCCCCTTTCCGCGTTCCGCTTTCCTCTTTCCTCTTTCCTCTTTCCCCTTTCCCCTTTCCCGAATTATCTGGGAAAGATCGAAGCGACTCTGCTAGCAGGGTAGAATGCCGGTCATTTGGTGTGTTGACAACCGGCAGTCGACCTGAAAAATGTTCTAAGTGTTTTCTGAGCACTGCGTAAACCAAACGCTAAACTTGAGATCTATAAAGTGTTTCAGGATCGCTTGACTTTTCTTAATCGACATGTGATAGTTTCGATTAGATGGATTTTTTCGATTTTTCAAATTTATTGAGAATATATAGGACTGCCGTCATTTAGTGTTTTAAAACCCTTGACCGGCAGTCGACCTTAAAAACGTTCTAAATGTCACAAAACATGGTTTCGTTTTCTGAGCCCAGCGTAAACCAAACGCTAGACTTGATATCTTTATAGCATTTCGGGACCGCTTTCAATCTTAATCGACATATGATAGTTTGGGTTGGTTGGGATTCTTAGATAAGTCAAATTTATTGAAAATACCGGACTGCCGGTCATTTAGTGTTTTGAAAACCTTGACCGCTTACCGGCCATATAGCCAGAGCGTAAAAGGGATACGTGAAAGGGTACCATTTGTTAATAGAAAGTAAACGAAAGGGCTACCTTTTCTGTCAAAGGTGGTATATAGAAAGGTAGGGGGTTGGACCTCGAGGCAGAACCTGCCTGTATAAAACTGCGGTGAGTTACCCCCTTCCGTCCACCGCGCGGGGGCGGCAAAGATATTACAAAAAGCCGCATAAATTCAATGCCGGGCTATATATAGAAAGTAATGCAATTAACGAGAGTTATAACATTTCCTTTAGTTCTCTTTAGATTGCTGTAATGGAGAGAAGCAGACTTTTTATTTTCACCTTACTGGCCCTGACTTTCTGTAAGTATCTCATAACAGCATGAATAACGTTTCTCAAAGGCGTTCAGGTTAATTAATAGAGACGCCATAGGGTGCGTATTTATGCCACGTCTAGCCTAGGCGCCAGCTAGTTTTCTCTTTGGTTAGTTTTGAAAGAGCGCGCGAGGGAAACACGCGACGGAGAGAGGGGTACTAGTCTCTTATCCTTTGCGTTATTTTCTTCACTTATATGTGTTGTCCGTGACTGTGCTTACATTGTGGGTGGCTCTACCTAAAATGTTCCCGAAACCAATTGTGGAATTGCACACATTTTAGGCATCCTACTGATGAACAGTTACGACACGTAGTTAGCAACTACTATAATTTGCAGTCTGTCCACGTTGAATCCTTTTCTCCGCTCGTGTTGTGCGCTCGCGTCCTCGAAATCTCCCTTTGCCCTAAAAAACCGGCGCGTCCTGCAAAGGCCGTAGCCTGCTCCTCGCCGCTAGATATAGAGACATCCCTACCGGCTAGCCACGTCAGAAGAAATTAGAACGCTGTTTCTGAGCGCCAAAAAACCCGCGCAAGACGGTTCCAGCACGGAGGCCATTTTGTTTTAATCTTAGCTAAACTTTTCAATCCAAGTCCTCAGCCGCTCGCCCTTCCTGATGGGGGACAGTAAAAACAGATAATGAGTTAATGTTCATATCTCTTGCAGATGTCTTAATTGGATCACAGCGAGTTCAGGCGCAAGGTAATAATATACATATTGACCCGGGGTTAAAGATGCAAGGCGGGTAGAGATGTGCCTCCCATGTCTTCCAACCCTGACCCTGTTTACTACGCTTTTCACAAACATGCGAACTCTAAAGTTCAAAAGCCGCCTTCACAATTGCGTTTTTCGCAGCCGTCAATCATAATTACGATCACAAGCAACGAACCTTGAAACACAGAAACACACAAAACGGATCGAAATCCACTAATCACAAATCACAAACCATGACCTTTTAAACCCGTTAAAGTAAAGTTTTGTTTCCTAAGAGGTCCGTTAAGATGATTGACGGCAGCGAAAAACGCAATCGTCAGTTGGCTTTTGAACTTCAGAATTCGCATGTTTGTGAAAAGTGCAGTAAGACAGAAATAGTCCATTTCGCTACCCTTTAAGACATGAAACCTTATTTTACGGAATTAATAAAACAGTAAACCTCTATATCCTTACGGCAAGAACAGTGAGTGAAAAAATGTAAGGAGAGAAAACAAAAATCAAATGGTGAATTATATTTACCCAATATTTCGGTTTGCAACACAATACATAAATAATTTTTGAAAGTAACATCATGGAAATGCCAAATGGATTTTTTGGAAAGATATTGTTGGTATCACATGTGCAGACCGCTCATCCCCAATCCTTCACACTGTTTTAAATGCTTCCGGCCGAAAAAGACACTCTTTTTAATGTGAAATTGTATACCCTGTTTAAGACTCAAGACCCTAAAAACGCAGCACTTATCCCTTTAGGCTGAATAATGGAGTACCCTCGAGATATTTACACTTCTTAGTTTTAAAATCGACAAAAATCCGAAGAGTTATTTCATCCTTTCAACTTGCTCCATTCATATCTTATTTAGCACAAGAGTGGTTCTCAGCAATTTCCTGACCGTTTTGGTTTTTACTTTGTGACGAGAAATCAGCCTCTTTCCCAGGCCAGTTCGCACTATTCGAAAGAGCGAAAGAGGCTTGGAACCGAGCGCAAATTCTCTTGACAAGCTTTACAGGTGAGGACGACTGGGAACGAGGCGCAGAAAAAGCTCTTGATCGTGAATGGCCGAAAAAATCTCCCGCCAATTTTCTTAACCAGTCACAATAAACGCGCGAGTATGCAATTGGGCACGTGCGCTGATTTAACGAACTTTTTAATGGTATTTAGTCTTTTACCCTGAAGAAGGCAGCATTGCCGGAACGTTTGTCAACAGCGTCGATTTTACAATTTTCCAATAAACATTAAGTAACTACGCTGCGCAGGGATTTTAATCTTTATTAAACAACATTATTATTCATCAAGTAAGCACACTGATGAAACGTACACCTTAACGCTTTTTTCTGGAACAAAAATTTAAGATTTCCATTTGCAGTTTCTCAAAATGGGAAGGTGCAAATCCTATAGAAGTATTCAGACCTTCTTGATTGCCCAAAAAATCTCCTTTCTAACCAACAGATGAGACTACTGCTGCACCAACAACTGCTGAACCCACAGATGCATCGGGAGATGGACCAACAACTGCTGCACCGACAACTGCTGCACCAACAACTGAACCCACAGATGCACCAACAACTGCTGCACCAACAACTGAACCCACAGATGCACCAACAACTGCTGCACCAACAACTGAACCCACAGATGCACCAACAACTGCTGCACCGACAACTGAACCCACAGATGCACCAACAACTGCTGCACCGACAACTGAACCCACAGACGCACCAACAACAGCTGCACCGACAACTGAACCCACAGATGCACCAACAACTGCTGCACCGACAACTGAACCCACAGATGCACCAACCACTGCTGCACCAACAACTGAACCCACAGATGCACCAACAACTGCTGCACCAACAACTGAACCCACAGATGCACCAACAACTGCTGCACCGACAACTGAACCCACAGATGCACCGACAACTGCTGCACCGACAACTGAACCCACAGATGCACCAACAACAGCTGCACCGACAACTGAACCCACAGACGCACCAACAACAGCTGCACCGACAACTGAACCCACAGATGCACCAACAACTGCTGCACCAACAACTGAACCCACAGATGCACCAACAACTGCTGCACCGACAACTGAACCCACAGATGCACCAACAACTGCTGCACCGACAACTGAGCCCACAGATGCACCAACAACTGCTGCACCAACAACTGAACCCACAGATGCACCAACAACTGAACCCACAGATGCACCAACAACTGCTGCACCAACAACTGAACCCACAGATGCACCAACAACTGCTGCACCAACAACTGAACCCACAGATGCACCAACAACAGCTGCAGCAACAACTACTGAACCCACAGATGCACCGTCAACTTCTGAACCCACAGACGCACCAACAACTCCTTTAGATGGTAAGTAAAACAGAGCTTTTACCAGGCCGATATTCCTTATCCAGGGATAGTTATCATGACAACTTGGATGCTTCGTCTCCCCGTCTCTCTGTGTGTCACTGACTTCCTTTTTTCTGGATATCCGCTGTCAATGTCCAGGTTTCGCAGGAGTACAACATAACCGAGACAAACAGAATAAATTTGAGTATCTTTGAGTTAAGAGAGATATACTTGTCGTTTCCAAGGTCTTCAGTCTCGTTAGTGCTGCTGTTGTGTGTGCAATTCTGGACAGTACTTTAGGCTTGGAACCTTGATCCGTGACCACTGCACCGAGGCCAACCTCGCCCAATCGTCCGCCGTTGACCCGCATGTCAATTATGATTCCATCTGTGTTGTTTGTCGTCAGTTTGGTCTCTGGTAATTTCCAAAGGGTGAATAGGTCTTTTTCACGGTGATTCACCAAAGAGGCTAGTTCCTCCTCTTTTCCTGCCAAGCCATCAATGTTATTGGCAAAACGTAAGTTGGTGATTGTTCTGCCTCCGATGTTAACTGTTCCTTTGTGATCTTCCAGCGCTTCAGTCATAATTCTCTCGCGAAAGATGTTAAAAAGAGTCCGTGAGAGCAGACAGCCTTGTCTGACTCCGACTGTGGTTCTGAACCAGTCTCCTATTTCGCCATTAAGGTAGACTGCACTCGTGGCCTTGCTGTAGAGGTTCTCTCTGACTCGGATCAGGTTGGCGTTAATGTTGAAAAGCGTAATAGAAGATCAAAGAGCTTTGTGCCATACTCTATCAAACGCCTTTTTAAAATCAACAAAGACGTGATAGAGGTATTGTTGATGTTGGAGGTACCTCTCACACGGTATCCTAAGGTTGAAGATCTGTTCTGTTGTACTGTGTCCTGCTATGAAGCCTTCGTGTTCTCCCTCGGTGATTGTTTCTGCCCGAGGCTTTAGCCTGTTTACGGTGCGACTATTATAACCGGGGCCACCTAAACAAAGTTGACCAACCGTATTACAGGAAAACAACATTAGATTCCCAGAGAAAGTTATCGATCATAATCGAAATCAACAACATAGCACATATCGAAATCAACCAATTGCAACCTACAGACGGCACCTTATGAGCCGACTGAAGAAAGTACATGTTTCCCGAGAAGTCTGAGTAAATAGAGACCTTAAGATACCCCGAAATCGGTGTACGGGTAACGGGTAGCGCCATGTTTTTTTCATTTTGTGGTGACGTCATCGACCTTACCCGGTAGAAGCAGCCGTTTTTCCGGGGTAGACACCAGTTTACCAGTAGAAGATTTACGAGTAGCTGCAAGTCCTACAAACAAACGAGTTTTTTAAGACCAACAAATGTAAATTGTATGACTCCTTGGCAATGTTATTGCAAGTCTGCAAATATTTTTGCCAAATTTGAATTTTAGCTGTAAAGAAAACAAAATTTATTGATTTTGGACCTCAAATGTGCAGGTTGAACTCTGAAACGATTTCATCGATCATTTGGGGGAATCTCGAACGTTTGATTTCAAAGAATAGCAAAAAATTTAGCATGGGAGTCACTGTTGATCGAAATCCTTGATCAAATGGCAATTTGCGATAACAAGCTTTCGGTCGAGGGACTTCAGACTTTCTATGATATTTCAATTTGTATGAATGAATTATTTGCCGACTTGTTGTTAAGAAAGATTTTGTATGCATAAGCATGTACAAAGTTAATTTTGCGTGCTTGTTCTTCGGGTATCTTAATCGAAATAGTCACGCACATGAAGTTTTTACGACGGGTAAATGACACCGATATCGGGGTATCTTAAGGTCTCTAATGACGCAGGGAAAACACGTAAACGTTAGTTAAATTTTGGACTTGAGGTCGTGATGTTATTGCAAAGCGCGGGAATGGTAGCGAAGAAATAGATGGTAGATGACAAAATAACAGCTTGTGTCAAACAAGTATGCCTCCTGGGTGTTATTTGTAAAGTTTTGACAGGAAAAAGAAAAAAAAAATTAAATCTTGTGCTTCGAGTAACTTATTGTTTCTTTATGAACTGCTGATAGGCCCACAACCAACTTTCTTGGAATGTACTGTTATTTCCTGTAATCTGATTGATCAACTTTGTCTAAGTGGCCCCGATTACAGTAGTCGCATTGTAACAGTACCTTTAGCATGACTTTACTTGGGTGGTATATCGGGCCGATTTTGCGATAGTTCTTGCACTGATTTAGGTTACCTTTCTTGGAAAGGTTAGTGATCAGAGACTGGCTCCATAGTATGAACCATTCTCCTGTCTGCCAGATCTTATGAGAGATTTTATATAAGGCGTTTATTACGGAATCTCCTCCTGCTTGGACCAGCTTCGACCATGTGGCTGGACAGTTCTGCACACTATTCTCTACACCACTTAAGAATGTCTGGGCTTCGGTAAGGCAATTCCCGTTTTTGTCCTGTATGGTGTTGGTTTATCTATGTTTTGTGCTAGTTGGAACTTTCAATAGCTGATATAATTTAATGCTGTACCTTAACAAGAAAAAAAGGTCCCAGAAGCCTTGCAGCTCTTCAGGCCCCGGTTGTTCAAATGTTGGATAGCACTATCCATCGGATAAATCACTATCCAGCGGATAACTATTTGGGAAACCAATTGCGTTAACTGTTTGGGAAACCAATTGCCTTATCCACTGGATAAAGATTTATCCATCGGATAGCGCTATCCGCCTTATGAACAACTGGGGCCAGATCCTCTAATTTTAAAATTGGACCCAGATTGCATTGTTAACTTTGTTTGTTTATTGGTTTTCCTACCGGTTGCAAACCAGTCCCGTGAGGCCTTCCGAGAGCTGCAAGATCGCAAAAAGGGCCCTAAGACAACACCTTGCTCTAGTAGAAATACTCATAATTGTTTTGTTTTGCAGGATTGACTGTGGAGTGTACAAAAGACAAAATGATTGTTACACTGGAGTACGCACCAATCGTCAAAATTGACCTCGACAAAGTTACTCTAAAGGATGATGACTGCCAATTGTCTGAATACGGGTCTCTTAACGATACACACTTAATGATGAAAACTCCGCTTGATTCGTGCAAGACTAACTACACCGCCGGAGGAGACACAATCACTTATCAAAATAGCCTGATAGTTAAGAGCAGTGATGAAGGCGGCGAAGACAGCGAAGGGATTTCCAGAGAGTTTACCACAGAGTTTATATTCACATGCTCCTATCCCAGTTCCGCTTTGGTGTCTGTCGTTAACTTCTCTCCAAGCGAGAAAGTTATCTACACCAAAACAGGTAAAGCACTTGAAATTGTATTTAATACCTTGCTTATAGAGGAAGTGAACTTAAAGTGGCTATGTCACGATGATATTCCTGTTTTTGGTCAATAGGCCCTTTGCAGCTAGTGGTCACGTGCTTGGATACCACCTAGCAACACGAAATTCCGTGCTGAAATCATTGCTGAAAATGCTCCTGTAAAGTTATGAACTTCATCAGGGAGCACAAACCATAATAATTTTTTGGAGATTTTTGGGGGCACAAAACTTGGAAAAGTTGGCCCAACTTTTTCTAGTTTCAATCAATGTCCATCTTTGACATCCTTTAAAACAGACGACAGGAAACAGTTTCAACACCTAAATATAGCGTTGAGTTACAAATATGGACCAAAAGTTTTGGAAGTCAACGTATGCAAACAAAAGTTTTAGCTTTTAAAAAAGATAGGAAATATCTTGACGTAGCTCTTAACTGTGTGCTCCAGATAGTCTTCCAGTTCACATAATTTCAAAAGTACATTACCAAGACCGAAAGAAAATCTAGTTTGCGTGAGGTCAAACAATTGGGTTATTGTACTGAGAAAGAACTCCAGCTATGGTTAGGTCACCCCTAGACAAGGGACTTTAAAATCAGCTGTTTGGTGCCCTAACAAAGCGACCAAGACTTAATGACAACTCATAAATTGTGCTTGTTACTGGCTCTCTTTGGAAAGGAGTATATCCACAGATTCAAACAGTAGTAAACCCAATTTTGCAATAAAAAAGCTTTCATTTGATTGTTTACACTTCAGGAGTTTATCCACAGACCTCAAGTACTGCTCAGTAGGTTAATTTCCAATCACAATTCTTCACCAGAAGACACTTAAAGAGCAAGAACCACCTCTTTGGCTTTTGGCTTAGAATTTAAAAGTACCTTAAAAAATTATTTATTCTACTTGAAGACGAACTCCTTATGAACTCTTTTTTGAGTGTAATAAAAAGAAGGTATAGGTAAAGAGTCTGTATTTTACGTCGGTAGCTTAAAATGGTCATTGCCTGACTAACAAACCTGAGGGCAAGGGCGGGCTCATTTTACCACCTCTCGCGGACAAAGCGTTTCCGTTCGAGTTACAGCTGTAGTTGAAAAAGTGGAGAAGAGGGCAAGAAAGAGGAATGAAGGGGAGGGGGAGAAAAGGAAACTTCTTTACCCCTTCCCCTCCCCTTTCTTTCTTTCGTTTTTCTTTTTCGCTCTCGCTCAACTTTCGTAAACATCTCGATCAGAAACACTTGTTGTTCAGGCTAAGAGATAACTGCCGTTAAGACTACCAGGGCGGGACTTTAACCTAGCTCAACCAAATTGCCTCGCTTTCCAGTTTATCAATGAACTTAAAAAGGCTTTAGTACCTTTTACCTAATGGTGATCTAAGACGTTATTTTTTTCAATTTACAGTTGAGTATGGTAACTTTACCTATATGATGGACATGTACGAGACGGATCAGTACGAGACCCCATACGACAGCTACCCTGTAAACTTGGACCTCAATGACCCTATGTACCTGCAGGTGAAAGTTGTGTCCAACGATTCCCAGTTGGTGATAATTCCTATAAAATGTTGGGCTACTCCTGAGCCTGAACCAGAGGCTAGCGACTCTTATACATTCATCAAAGACGGGTAAGCACTGCAACCGACTTTCAAGGGTCCTTTTCTTCTCATCTAGTCTGCTTAGCGGCCGTTCTTTGTGTCGTCACGCAGCGCTACTTGAAACAACACAGATTTAAGAAACAATTTTCCTTACTTTACCCTAGAAAACAACAGACTAAAGGACTCCGGTAGTTGAAGCGAAATGTCATCATTCAAATGTCATATAGGTTTGGGTGTAACTACGCGAAAGAACGAAGTGGGTAAGGAGAAGAGGAAAGAAGTTACGGATTGTTGTTACCTGTCTCGTCCCTCCCATGTCTCCTTCCTGTCTCCTGTGACTCTTGCACTACCAACCGAAATTATATCGCTAGCCCCGCTCTTCCCTCCCCTTTGCCCATCACAAAGAAAACGCCCGTACGCTTTCTTCATAGAAGAGGGCTAAGCTCCTGTTTTGTTTGCTTCACGTAGTTGCAACAGTGATGATACCCTGGTGTTTGACTACGACCAGAACGCTGTACAGAGATTCACTTTAGACGCCTTCTACTTCCCTGCATACACTAGCCCGGATGATGTCGTGTATTTGCACTGTAACGTTCAATCCTGCCGCAAGAATGACAGTGATTCGCGCTGTGCAGAGGGATGTGTGAACAACGAAATCATGAAAAGAAAGAGGCGAGACCTGTTACGTAATTCTTTACAGCAAACAATCTCTGTTGGGCCCGTGATAAAGAAAGATCAAAGTGATAAATTGCAAAGCCGTAAGTAGTATTTAAAGTCTTTTTATGCCCTGTTGACACCACCGACACAACGATACATCAAGGAGTAGTTCAAACGATGGATAGCGCTATCACTGACCACTGTCCAGCGGATAAGTATTAGGGACACTAATTGCGCTATCCACTGAAATAGATTTATCCAGTGGATAACAAGGGTGTCCAGTTTTTCCTCTTTATGTCGGTATGTCCGCTACATGTTTAAACTGTCGTTATGGTGCTCATGTGAACTTGCTTTATACCGTTCGTTTGGTGATGTCAAACACTGCCTCTAACTCCCAAACCTTGGTCGCGTGTATCACCTGTGTTTAGCCAGAAGCCCATGATACTGGCTCCTAGATTAGCCCTGGTGAAAATAATATGTCAAACACGACACGCAGTGTTTTCATCCGATATGCAACCACCGTAGGCGAGAACAAGCCGCAGACGACCTTTTTTAGGTCTACCGACATCTAAAATAAACAATGATTTTAGTTATAGTTCAGCTGGTTTTATGTGAATCGCCTTAGGGCCGGCGTTTTAATTTCACGGCTAAAGGAGGTATGTGGAACGTCTCAGCCGATCCAAACAAAATCGGTTCATGATCATGTATAAGACATCGCTTACTTCACACTGAAAGTCAAATAATCACATCACACGTATCTCACTTGTTATTAAAAGGTTTGTACAGCAGCACTTACGTTTAACCTTTGTTTCCTTTTCTGTCCAGATAACGCCGCCGAAAGCGAGTCACTACCAGTATTTGCTATAGTTGCCGGTGTTTTGGCCCTCGCAGTAGTGGTTCTGGCTGTTGCCTTGGTGATGTTGTACAAGCGCTACACCAATACCCACAATGTCGCAGAGTCTGTTTAAGCCCAACCGCGAGGGTAAACAACTGCGGATCTGAAAGGACTGGTAGCTTTTTCGTTTACCGGCATATTCAACAGCTATTTGAAGCTTTCTCTGCTTCTTTGTATATGCTTAGCAATAATAAGGAACTTATAACCCATATTTGCATTTTCGGCAGTGAACTGGACTAGCCTGAAGTCAAGGTTAATGATTTTCTCCCTGAGGCTCGACTGCAAGCTAGTTCCAGCTCATTGCCAAGAATAATAAAAAAAAAAAAACGGAAAATGGGTACCAACTTTCAGCGCAACAATTTCCGTGATCGTTTACGTGGACGAGCATTAGTAATAAACGGTCGATTGCTTAGACTGGCGAACTCCAAACGATCCAGAAATCTTTGCGCCAAAAGCTTTCCCCTGTTTTCCCTGTGGGCCTAAGAGTGATGAATATGGTGTAAACAACCAAGACGGCGACGGCAACGAGAATGTCAATAAACAAAAGCTTTAATGAGCAAAGCAACAACACCGCACGTCATCACACTTTTATGATACATTCAGTCAAATTTCCTTATGCGATGCTTCATGCTGAGAGGTGACACACCACAAGGATTAATTTTGCCATCGCTAAGCTTGAATGTGGGCCCTGGCAATTCAAGTCTAGAAGAATTTCTGCATTTGTAAAATCGAGGGCGTAAGAATAATCGCCTCAAAATTTTATGTGAATTAGTGACATTTTCACCGCCGTCCCTTCTTGAGAATGGCCGTTTGCTTTACACCACACTTAGTCCAAACCCACCTACCCCTGGAGTAAACACACATTACCCGTAGGCTAGCACGTTTCTGATTGTTTTCTTCAACTTTGCGGTTTTCGTTAATAAAGACCTTAAGTTGCCCAACTCTCCTTTTCAAAAGAAGGCTAACTGTAAAATCTTTGAAAAGAAAATAGTTTTCTATTGACACTCGATAGAAACATTTTCTGGCATCGTAGAGTCGCCTTGACCTAATCAGGAGTTATTCGAGGCCAATAAGTATATATATATAGTAAAATATTAGGTAGTCAATTATAGGGAGATTGTGGTCCAAATCAAGCACTGTATACGCATAGAGGTGAATCCTGAAGATACAGTGAACATAGCTCTCTCTCTCTCTCTTTTTCAACCCCCCTAGTTAAGTTAACAATGTTCTTTAGGTTAATGTATTCTCTGCCACTCGCATGCATAAACTTAGCTGCTAATAAAATTGTTTCTAATAACTATATCCCAGTGTCATTATTCGAACCAGAATTAAAGGCTGGATTTCAGAATGACGGGTCGACCAATGCTATCACAAATTCGAAAATGTTGGATTTATTTACTGAGTTTAAAACGTAAATTGGCTAACGTCGTGGAATTCAAAAGCTGACAGTTTCCATGGAAACTAACCTCTCTTAACACAAAACAGTTCCCACTAGAGGTAATGGAAACCAGGTTCATCTTTTCTTTTTCATGCTTTTATATGACAAGAGTTTCCAAAAGGTGAATCTTTTAAGTTTATAACGTTAACACTGTACGGCGCCACGGGCAAGATACGAATATAAGTCAAAAAAACAAATATCTTACTACCCACCCCCTTCGGGGCTTTTATGGATAATTTACAAAACAATGATGTGGGGGTTTGCCTGACTTCTCGAAGCAATAAGTTATGACTGCCATCTGTTAACTTATGAAACAGAAGTTGATTTGTGACTTTTGTTGGGCCACGGCTTTTGTTTCAAGTCAGTTGCAGATCCAGACCTTCAGATAAGGGGGGGGGGCGGTCATCCAGAGCCTGAGATAAGGGGGGGGGCTGAAAGAAACTTTTTTCGCCCCATTTGGGCCTCATTTTGGTCTAAAAATAAGGGGGGACCCGAGCCCCCCGGGCCCCTTCCCTGGATCCGCCACTCCTAGTAAAGGGTCAGTATCGAACAGGAGCTCCCCTTCAAGGCCTGGCTAACTTTTTATATCGTCAAGTATTTGTACAACACCAAATGAATACTTCTATCTACCACTCCCAGCCAAGCCCCCGAAAGGTCTTGTCGACTTTCATCTTCTCGTACCATAGCCTGAGAAAAAGGCCGACATTTCGCGACCCCACCATCGGGTTTCCCCGCAAAATGACGTCTGAGAAACAAGCGCAGAAATTCCACACTGAAGACTTGTCACCATCCAGATTTTGTTAGTGCTTCTGATTGGTCGTACTGAGTGGAAAATTTGCTTCAACCAATCAGAAGCACCACCTACATCTGGGTAGGAACACGTCATCAATATGGAATTTCTGCGCTCGTTTTTCAGACGTCATTTGGCGGGGAAACCCGTTAGCGTCGTGAAATGTCGGCTGTTTTTCCAGGCTACTTGTACCAAGAAGCCGCTGGGGACAAGCTTACATTAATACAGTTACTGTAATAACTGTTTCATTTTTTGTCCTCGAGAGATCCTCAAGAAGGAGAGAAGGAAAGAAAGAAGAAAGAAAGAAATTCATAAAAAAGATGGCATGGTATGGAGTGAAACCCTACCAGCGTTTAATAAAACTCAGCAAAAATGAAAACATTAAAGTATTAATACAATGGAGAAACAGATATTTACCAAAGCTTTTCAGGAAACGATCATGTTTCACAGGAAGTGGCATATATGCATATCATTTAGTCCATGAACTCCTCGTTTTGTCCCATTTGTGCCCATTGAAATGTTATTAAATTTGTTGTTTTCCATAAACGTGCCCCTATTTGTCTCAACAAGATGTAAAATTCGTTTACTTAGCTCCAAAAACATAACTGAATTCTCAAAAAAAAAGCTAGTAGTGATGGCACTTTGCCTGAGCTCTTTTGATGAAAAGTAATTTGGCCTGAACCCTTTTACGTTTGAGACTGAGACTGAGACTAGAATGCCCAACATTAGCCCGGTTTACACCGCAAATCAGCTGGTGCTGGTATTTACCTAGCTTCTAGCAACACTCGATTTTTCAATGTGTTCTTAAGGAGCGACTCCTTCGCCTAGTAACAAAGCGAAGAACATCCGTTTGCGTCATGTACACTGGAGGGCGCGGAAAATGTTCGAAAAGAAAGAGAAGCTGATGAACCGAATAACGTATTCACAATTTTGTCGTCTTTAAGCGACAATTTAAATATTTGAGTACCATAAACGAAATTCATTTCAAAGCCAAAATAAACTGCCAATATGCATGTTAAAAAGAAGAGGCGGATTAAATTACCGACTGTTTCACGAAGATCTGTTCATTGCCAATTAAAGATAATACACTGGAACAACAAATTTAAAAGAAAAACAGAAAAAGACTGGCTTTGACACAATTCTTTGGGATCTGTACAAGCCCCCATGTCTGCACCAAACGCGCAAATTTTTGATAAAAATAGTCCTGCAAAGTATCTCTATTCATTTACTGTAACTGATGAATCAATATTGCGGTATTAAAACAAACAAAAGCGATATCAAACCTGCCGTACAGAAAAAAATATTAAATCTTCAGCTATTCAGTTAACAAGAACATTTGACTTTTCAAAGGGAATTATTTTGTTTGGATTTGAAGCGAAGCGTATTTCTTAATATCCAGCTATCATAAACCTTAAAAAGCCAATAAACAGCCAATCAGGAGCCGCGAAAGAACACCGGTTTCCGTAGCTACCGAGGCTGACAGAAACACCTGTCGAAAATACAACACTGGCGAATCACATAAAGCGAGAAAAAGCGGAAAATAAAAATCTCAAGCTTTTTTGCATAATAAATATCGCTCGCTCTTCTGAGACGTTAAATGGCCTCTTCCAGCGAGAAATCGGCGGTATATTAAGGCAATTGTGCTCTCTCCAAACCTTGAAATCGGTGAAAACTCGATTCGAAGGACGCGGTGTTTCTTGGCAATTTTCAATATCGCTGGACATGTTATGTTGCAACGCTGGCAGTAAATGACCGTCTGTATAATTTGTACACTCAAAGATTATCCTATCATAGTGCCACGGTGTGGATTGTATTTTTCATCACGCGTAAAAATATCCTACGTTTTGAATGGAAGCCATGAGATTGCGAAAGCTGAATTTCGTGATTCGTTGAAAGGATGATGAACGGCTCTGCAGAAAATTCAAAAGCCGTAATGAAAAGGAAATTTCGTTGGCGATTGTTCGACTAAACTTGTGATACAAGGGTTTATTTTTGCACAGCGATAGAACAACCTTGATTTGCCAGACAAGAGTGGAGCGGATTTACCAAAGACCGTCTTATTGTGGCAATAACATGGCGAATTACGCTAGAGACAAAGAATATATTTTGAAGCAACTTGCCATGGCTAAAGAAACATTAACGAAATTAAGGGCCCTTACTGATTCAAGGAATTCAGTAGACAGTCAGCTCAATGAACAAAATGGAAGTTCTTCGCCGGGCACGGAAAGCGTGAATGGATTTCATGATGACTTTAAACACGAGAGCGACGAAAGAAGTTCTGGAGTAGGGATGGAATCGCCGCGTTTTGATTTTTACACACAAAACACGAATTTAGTGAGTGATAAATCGCATGTTGCGCGCGATAGTCTTGTTAGAGTGCTGGGTTTACAGGTGTCTAAATTGGAGGACGATTTGAAAGTCGCCCTGCTGGAGTATGTTGAACAAATGGAAGTACAGAAAGAAGAATTAATCTCCAGCTTTGAAACAATGCACGCACAACTTTCAAGACATCATGAAATCTGTCAAGAACATTACAGAGAAACGGCAGAAAAAGACACGTGTATCGAACGTCTTAAAGTTGATAAACATACATTAGAATTGGAAGTAGAGAAATTAAGGGGAGAAAATATGCATCTTAAAGCCACGGGTGGGCACGCGCGTGAAAACGGTTACAAATTGTCGCCAGGTTTTGTTGAACATGACGAGCTGAGCGAAACACTCATGAAGGAAAATTCACATTTGAGAGAAAGGCTTCGAAAATACGAGACAAGCGATTATGCGCGAATGGAGAGGAAAGTAGCTCTTCAAGAAAAATTGTGCGAGTCTTACAATAAAGACGTTATGTCCAAAGATAGTTCACTCAAGCGCTTGAAGGCTGAAAACCGAGGTCTGCATGAAGACGTCAAAAATCTTCAAGACGAAGTTTTAAGAGTGAATGCAAATCGCCTGAATGCAGAACAAGATAGAGCGAGATTGCAGCAGGAATTGCAGTTTAGCGAGGAGCAAGTAAGTACACTGAGAGAAAAGTTGAGCAGCGCTACCGAGCAGACCAGATATTTACAAAGGTGTATAAATGATGGAAATTCCAAGCCAAACACTTCGACAGGTAATCTGCCTGAATTGGAAAAAGAGATTTTAGCCTTACGAGGCAAATGTGAAAGTTACAAAGATAAATTGAATGACAAAGAAAGATTCCTTGCTTCTGTTACTGCAGAGAATCAAGGCTTGAAAACAGCTGTGGACACCATGAAACGACAACTGGCTGCTGTAAGAGGCGAAGAACGCTCGCTTAAGATCGAGAATGAAAGATTACAGAAAGAAAACGCAGATAGAGAGATTGATCGCTTGAGCTCCGAAACAACGACTGAAGCCCACAGCAACAAGATCTCTAAAATGAAACAAGAACTGCATGACTTGGAAAGGAAGGTTGGCGAACTGGAGCTACAGCGACAAAAACACGAACAAAGAGAAACTGAGTTGAGCCAAGACATGATGGCCAATCTGGAAAAGTACACTCGAGTTGAACAACAGTTATATCTTTCAAAGAAAGAGCTTACACAACTGCAAGGATTTTACGAGTCAAGCGAGGCGAAAAAGGGGGATTTGCAAGTAGAGTTAGAGAATTCCAGACAAAGAATTGTTAATTTGGAGAGACAGTTAGATGAAAGTCGAAGAGATGATGAGGGGAATGAAAGAATGCGTGATGCTGTGGAAGAAAACAAAGGCTTGAACGAAGAAAATAGAAGACTAAAGGAAGAATTTGAAACAAGCAAAACTGAAATAGAGGAATTAGAGGAGGCACTGCAAAATGCA